GATTGACATCAGCAGCCTCAAGTCGAATATTGAAGATGGGTATATTACGTATCGCGAAGTCTATCAAAGGTTCTATTTACGATCATAGTGCAGATGAAGAGGAAACGATGAGCCGTGCTTCGAACGTCATGTCGGGACCGCCCGATCCATACTTTGGCCCAAGCACATCTCATAGTACACACCCTTCTTGTCAAGTAGTTCTTGATGTGTGCCACTTTCCACAATCTTTCCCCTCGCGAACACCATGATCATGTCCGCATCCTTGATAGTACTGAGACGATGCGCCACCGCGACAGTTGTACGTCCACTCTGCGCTTCCTCGAGCGCCGCCTGAACTACCCTCTCGGATTCAGTATCCAGTGCGGAAGTAGCTTCGTCAAGAAGCAGTAGGCGTGGCTCGCGGATGAGTGCTCTGGCGATGGCGATACGCTGGCGCTGCCCACCCGATAGTTGCGTGCCTCTACTACCACACATCGTCGCAAAGCCGTTTGGCAAAGATGCAACGAAGTCGGATATGTTCGACTGCTTGGCTGCGGCTTCGACCTGAGCGTCAGTCACGTCGACTTCAACACCCATGGCGATGTTGTCCCGGACCGAGCCTTGATATAGGACTGGCTCTTGCTGGACCAAAGACACACCTCGGCGGTACTTGCGTGGACAGAGGTCCATCAACGGAGCGCCATCGCAGGTGATACGCCCCGCAACGGGATCATAGAACCTCTCCAAGAGCGAAACCATTGTTGACTTCCCGCAGCCTGAAGCGCCGACGAGAGCAATGAATTGACCGGGGCGGACATCGATATCGATGCCCTCCAGGACCTTGGCGTGGGGCCGAGACTTGTACGCGAAAGCAAGGTCTTGCACCTCAATGTGCGCTGGACTCTTGTCCTTCTCGTCGTCAAATGGCGGCTTTGATGCGTCTTCCTGCACTGCAGGCTTCATTGCCCGCAACCGAAAAACGTAGTTGGCCGCAGTGGCCGACTTTGTGAGACTCGTAGTGTAAGAGAAGAAGGCTGCAGCTGCCTCTCCAGAGAAAATGACACCGATGAAGACCGTGAAGAATTGGGTAGTCGTGTATTCTCCCGTGCTGATCAGTCGGCCGCCGTACCAAAAGCCCAGGGCCATTGCCAAGAATGAGATGGACTGCGTCAGTGCGTACCAAAACATGGTCCACACCAAAGCTTTGATGCCGTCTCTTGCGACACCTCGTAGTCGATCTTCGTACCGGGCGAGGATGTGTCTTTCGAGCGCGAGACTGGAGACTGTGCGAATGGCGGAGACTGCTTCGGATGCGAGTGCAGCGCTGCTGGCGAAACGTTTGCCCGTAAGATCTTCTAGCTTGAATTCAAGTCGAATCCTGAGGTACCCAGAAAACACGATTGGAGGCATAGCTGCGCCAAGTCAGTGTCGATTACTGGAGAGAACTGAGAAGTGATACTTACCTCCAAAGACAACTACAAGACCGAGCTTCCAGCCAACCACGATGGCAAGAATCGAGGAAGAAACGATGTTGACGATGTTGATGAAAATGAGCATCAGGTTGAAGCCCATAAGGTCGCGCAGTGCGTCAGGGTAGGCTCCGAGTTTGGAGGCGAGCGCGCCGCTTGCATTGTCTTGATCGTCGAAGAATGCCATGTCTTGCTTGAGGACAAGGTCGAAGATCTCGCGTCTGTATACCCTGGCGACAACCTGTGCGACAACGTTGCTGGCCCAGCCAACAGCGCCATAGACAACAAGATTGCCGATTGCGACAACGAAGAACATCAAGGAGTAAAAGTCGCCCTGTTCTACTGCCCTCTTGGAAGACAGTTGGAAGGCTTCGACGACGCGAGAGAACAGGATGGCTTGAGCTGGGTAGGTCGCTCCTGTGGTAGGTCAGTAACAGTCGAACAAGAAACGAGTTGACAACTTACCTCCAGCTAGTGTTGCAATTCCCAATATGAGAAAGCACTTCCAAAGGGCACCCTGTTCCTTGAGCACTATCCAGGCACACTTCACCAGGTTGTAATTGATGCCGTCTTTGTCGGAAACTTTCGCTTCTTGGCCGATAGCGGATGCTTGAGTCTGCGTCCGTACTAGATCAATCTTCTCTGCGGCAAAATCTTGGTCTTCCTGCTCTTCGCCCTCTGCTTGGCCGAGGTCCTGGGCTCTGACGAGACGAGCGTATGCACCACCAGCAGCGAGAAGCTCGTCGTGTGAACCCTGTTCAACCACAATTCCAGCAGCCATGACTGCGATGTTGTCGGCATTGCGAATGGTAGAAAGCTTATGAGCGATGACGATGGTTGTGCGACCTTGAGAGACACGCTCAAGTGCTTGCTGTACGATCTTCTCTGCCTTTGGGTCCAAAGCGCTGGTGGCTTCATCCAAGAGAAGGACAGTTGGCTCCGAGACGATACTGCGCGCGATGGCTAGTCGTTGCTTCTGACCGCCCGAGAGGTTCATAGCACGCTCACCCAACTGCGTGTCATAACCCTATTCAACGTTAACAATCCATATGCAAGTATCTGAGGAGCAACATGGCTCACCTTTGGCAGCCGCTCGATGAACTCTTCGGCATAAGCGTTCTTGCAGGCCTTCTCTACGAGCGCTCGCTGCTCGCTCTCGGGCAAGTTGGCCTTGTCGGTGCCGAACAAGCCGAATGCGACGTTTTCGTAGACAGTACCGGAGAAAAGCACTGGTTCTTGCTGTACTAATCGGATATTCGTACGTAGCCAGGTGAGATTGAGCTCTCGTATTTCAGTACCGTCGAGGTATATGGCGCCGCTAGCCTGATCATACCATCGCTCTATCAAGCCGATGATTGTCGATTTGCCGCTGCCTGATGCTCCTACGAGGGCTGTAGTCTTTCCAGCAGGCGCAGATAGCGTTAAGCTCTTCAAGACTGTGATGTCAGGTCTAGCGGGATAGGTAAAGCTGACGTCTCGAATCTCGACAACACCTTGACACACGCTAGGCACCTTGCCATCAACACTCAAGGGATCAATCTCGGACTTCCGATCGATGGTTTTGAATAACTCGTCGGCAGAAGAAGAGGCCTTCGTCAGAGATATGATCTGAGGTGCTATTGTTGTCATAGCGGTTGCTGCGACAATGACAGCGAGGATGACGGTAAACACGTCGCCTGTCAACGGATTAGTACATAATAGTATCAATCGGGTAGATCTGAGGAACAATTCGTCCCAGGTTGGTGCTTCACATACCACTCTCTTGGACTTCGCCCCTGGCCCACATCCGGATGCCTTGCCAGAAGGCCAGACCATAGCCCGCATAGATGCAGAAGAACTCGACTGAGAACATGACGGCATAGTTCGGGGACTTCTTCATACCAACCTCCTGGGCATCGCCAAGAAGCTTGTCATACTTGCTGGACAGCAATGGATGAAGCCAGAACGCGTGAACCGTGCGCACAGTCGCGAAAATCTCTTCCGCAAGTTGTCCGGCTTTGGAGTAAATCGGTAGCAATTGATTCTCGTTCTTGGTATCAATGCCGATGGAAACACCGACAACGATCATGATTGTAGGAACGATGCTGATCGTTATCAGGGTAAGTTTCCATTGGACGATGAAGGCGATGATGAATGCTGAGACGAAGGTCGATACACCTTGAACGGTCAACGTGAGCTTCTCCGATATACCGTTGTTGACATTGTTTCCGTTCGTCGTAGCCTGTGTCGTGACCGAAGCGGCTTCATCTGAGTCGAAGTATGCGATGTTCTGGCGGAGAATACTCTTGATGAAGTCCAATCGTAAGGCCTTGGTGGTGCGGATGGCTGCGATGGATACAAATGCCTGCGAACGTGAGCATGCTTTCACGGATGTAGCTTGTTAGTCACATACCGAGTGAATGTAGACGAGACCAAACTTCGCAACAAAGAGGTAGATGAAGTACAATGTGTATTTGTTCACTTCGGCACGATATTGCGCTGGCGTGATCGAGCCAGTCGCGAACCCAGTGAACGTCGAGATGAACTTGCCAAAGACCAGATCCCTGTGTGATGGAGGATTCCGTTAGTGTGTGATTATTGATTGATCGACGATAGGTCTTGCGAGAATCTTTGACCGTCCTTGACACGTAGTGTGAGGCCCGGACAACTTTCCATTGATGTTTATCATTTCACATGAACGAAACAATAGCAATGCGCAATCATCCAGGCCACCACGTTTCGAACATTGATGGAGGAGACAAAAGATCGTGATGTGTGCATGTCTCTTACATTAACGGAAGTAGTGTTCCAGCGGCGATGGCTGCAACGAATGCGATGGTGTTGAGGATCCAGCTTGTACGATCTGCATACTTGAAGATGCGCTGGTATGTCGTGAGCATCGTGTTCCTTCTAATTTGTTCAATACACTTACGACGTAGCCACCCATGCCACCCTTTGGCTCTTTAGACGTGACATCGCTTTTGACTGTCGGCGCCTTGCTTGTCTTGACGTCATCGCTGGCGCGCTGCTCGGGCGTGTCGACCATTTCTTTACTCGTCGACATGTTTGGGGTGAGTATTGCAGTCCTTGGACGATTGGACTGCAGTGCGCCACATTGATATCTGAAGCCATCTCGTCGAAGTTGCGCACATAGCTCATGTTTGCCGGACTTTGCAAAGTCCGGATCCGCGGTGAAAAGGGCGATCAGAGGGCGCGTCGCAAGCGGCTGAAGATTTCCCAAATGGCGCGGGATACGAGCAATGCGAGCCAATCGGCAAGTCCCGGGCCTTGGCACAGTCACGAGATCGCGCGTTCTTCGTAGTGATGCCTGGTGAGGCCGAATGCTGCATCTAGACTTCAAAACCCTGTATCTTCGACACTCTGGAAGGTTTAGTTGGTGAGATATTGGACTGCTGCCTGTCGGTGCGAGATTTCTGCTGTTAGTGATGACATCGTTGATAGTTCCCACAGCCCCGGGTTCCGAGAAGCCCGCGCTCCGATAAAGTCCACAATATCCGCCACTCTTGCACACCACGCGTAGAATACCGCGGCTCGGATTGCGTAGCCGACAATATGGAAGACGACGATATGGATGCGTCGCTTGATGGGCCCATGTCCAAGCGTGCGGTAAGTCGCATGAGCCAGCCACCCAGATCAGCGCCCAGATTGACGACCCACATCTAGTGCGATGCCTGCCGGACACGCAAGATACGTTGCGACAGAGGCGTGCCATGTTCCAACTGCAAGGCAAGCAAATTGAGTATGATTTGTTGGGCCTGAACTTGAAGTTGCCGCTGATTCGTGCAGCTTGCAAAACAGCTCCCCCTCAACAGAAAGCGCAGCGACAAAGGGTTCACATATCTGAAGAATAGTACGTCTGAACCGCTTCCAAAGTGGACCTCGCTGCTTGTGGCGTCAGCCTTACCCGTCGACCGTTCTTTGCCCCGCGGCCAAACAATCGAATCGTGCTGATCTGGCGTTGAGTAATCTTGTTCGAGCTGACTCGATTTAGCGAGAAGAAGATTGATAGAATTGAAGACCGCTTAGCTGGTATTGAGAATGTTCTTGCCAGTCTCGCAACGAAACTCGGCAGTCTGGACCTCCAGAAAGACTCGCATGAATCCAGCAGCCAATCGCGGTCGAGCCGAGTTGGCCCTTCAAGGAGTCCTGGAAGTGTCCTCGTCGAAGCCCCCACACCCGCGCCATTCGAGGGCGAGAGTTCTATCAATAGCCAGTCAGACTATGCTCGCGAGATGCTGGCACGAGCGATCGGGAGTACACCCTCTATTGGACAGAATGAAGAAGTCAAGTTGGCACTTACTGCTCTTTCGGAGATGGTCTCTCAGCACGGCCAAAACCCTGCAACTTCCAACCCCTTGATCAACCAGTCACTTGTCGATATTGACCCATCGAAGCTGGAACGACCGCCTTGGGAAACTGCGTGCTATGCTTTGGAGAAAGCTAGTGGTATGTCTACAGACTTTGCACCCTTCAAGCCGATCTGACATGACCAGAATATCCAACTATGGCCTTCGCAGTGGTGTTTCCGTTCTTGAGAATGGCCAATCTCAAAGACATCTTCTATGATGTGTATCATAACCCAGAAACTTGTAGCGCCGCTCGCCGTGTGCTCACGTTCGGCGTGTTGGAGAACGTGTTCAACGAATTCCGGACCTTGCCACTGGTCAATATGGACACCGCCAACTATCAATCGTACGCCATCATAAGTCGCAGGCAAACAGAGGTAGCACTGTCGCAGCTGGCTATATTCTTACCCGCAACTTTCGAGAACATCATGGCTTTGGTACTTGGCGCTGCGCAGGCGGTCGAGATGTGCAAGCCATCTCTTTGCTGGATCATGATATCCAGTGCTGCGGGCTTGTGTCAGAGCTTGGGCTATGTAAGCATTCATGTGCAGCATGCGTGTGAGCAGACCGCTGACTTCCTGCATTTAGCATCGAATCAACACTATGATAGACGACAATCCCGAAGACAGACAGACGAAGATCCATATCTTTTGGATGATCTACATGCTTGACAAGACGCTTTCGCTACGTTTGGGCCGCTCAAGTATCCTCCAGGACTGGGACATATCGTTACCATTTGTACTATCCAGCGACAAGCACGCCGAATCAAGCGCCTTCTTGTCGTACTGGATTAAGGTTGCGCGAGTCCAGGGCCTGACATACGAGAAGCTATTTTGCCCTGCCGCCTTTGCAAAATCGACGGAAGAGCGCACGCGAATCGCGATCGAACTTGTCAACAGTCTTAACCAAGCCTGGTACGAGCGTGGGGATGCGTCGATCGTCGACTTTTCGCAGCAAGGCCAAACATATCATCTCGGTACGCCGAGATCGAACAAAATAGGCAACAGTCCAAATGAGACACCACTCCCGTCTCAATACAAGCGCTATGTGCACAAATCTCTGGGTAAAGAAGGACCAGAAGTCAACGAATACGTTCAGGGTAAGTTTCACCGCCTGCGAAATTTGAACTCCACTGACTTTCTTGGTTGAAGGCTCTTTCGAGAGAGTCCAAGACATCTTCTTCCACTCCGATGTCGTCATGCACTATTCCACCTGTGCGCTCATACAGCGCGCGGTCAGTCCAGGAAATATGAGCTTTAATCAGGAGTGCCTCGAATCCTCGAGAGCGGCCCTTGTCGCCCATATGAGGGCTAGTGCACAGTTCAACAAAAAGGGCCAGGAGGACTTCTGGTCGGGATATGTACACTGGTCGGTTCTTCAGGCACCGTTCACACCGTAAGTCACTTGATTCTTTGCAGCGCACGGTCGCAGCTAACTCATACCTGTAGTTTCATCGTGATATTCTGCCACTCCATCCAAAAGGCCGATACGTCCGACGTTGAGCCAGATCTAAACTCCCTTTCCGAGTTTGTCGGCAGCCTGGAATCTTGCCGCACGATTTCCGAAGGCGCAGACAAGCTCTACAAGATGTGCCATCTTTTCCTACGAGTTGCCAGGCTCTACGTCACAGCTAAGAAACAGGATGCTGCGTCAAGATCACGGGGAATTATGCAAAATAACCAGTCAGGGTATTACACGACCGTTGATGGCACGCAGCTGGACCTCAACGCAATGTCTCAGTTCGATCCGTATCTTAGTGCGCTTGGATTGATGCCTGATATCGCATGGCCCACGACATATCCCAACGCTTCGACTGCAGCCACAACGACCGCGTTTGAGCAAGGCGAGGCGATGAATAACATGGATGCCGTTGGTTCGTCAGGCTTCGGATTTGGAGCGTCTCAGGGAAATTCCAATCCCATGCAGGACTGGTTCTCCGGCTCACGCTATCTCATGAACCTTATGGAGCCAGGCGACGATCTACAAATGCCGGATCTAGACCTTTAACACACGTCATCAGGGAGGAAGACATGGTTTCCGGCGTTTAGAAGACGGTGGACTGCTTCGGCGGCTATTCTGCTTGTCACTGACATATACCCCACTCTTGACATTGCTAGATGTCCATTATTTGCATTCATACTCGCGCTTCATAGTGAACTATTTCGCTAGAGAGTTTCTAATCTGCCTGATTTGTTGGCGTCATTGCATACCATTCTAGACTCATAAAAGCCTGTATTTCATAGCATCCTGAAGTTCAGCCAAATGGTCTACGATGACATGAGTGCAAAAGCGAGCCGACGTCGCAGGTTTCCTTGCACCCACATACTGATTCGCGCTCATAACCTTGCCCATCTCAGGAAGGACGTCATCGTTGCAGCCACCGACCAAAGCGATTTGACAGCGATTCATGTGCCCTCTGCCCAAGCAGTTGGAAGAACAAAGCATGATGCTGCATAACAAAGGTGCGCAAGCGGTGCGAAATACCCGGACTGTGATGCGAAACTGAAACAGCCTGTTTCATATGGGGAAGAAGAGCTTGAGTGAACAACATGCAGCATGCAACAATGGCAACAAGGGTGTTCGATCACTCATCACGAGCATTTGAATTGTTACATGATCATGCTGCTCCACTCGTTGATGTGTTGTCGATGCTATTATTCTATTTACACGCGCCGTCTCCAACCGGCAAGAAAGCCAAGCCTACACATCAAGGTCCGGCATCGCATTGTCGTTGGCCCAATCCTTGATCTTGTCAAAGTTCCTGCATACATGGTGACTCTCGTAGTCAGGCCAGTATCCCTCCTTGCCCTCTTGCGGGTGGAACGTGAAGACGTTGACGTCAGAAAGACACATGAGGTTCATGCGGAGGATCTCGATGCAGTGATCTAGATGCGCCCTGACCTTTTCAGGCTTGTCGTTGGTGTCGCTCCACCAGAGCTTGGGGTAGTAGTCGGGGTAGGTTGACATGCGGAGGAGGTTGAGGCAGTGCAGTTGGTGGAAGACTTCTAGTCCGACTCGGTAGCCTGTTTCGCCTGTCTTGGGGTCGGTGACTTGCAGGGCGTCGGCGGGCTTTTGTAGCTTGGGGAAGTCTTCCATGGAGACCATTTGGTCGGGCACTGTGCTGTGTTAGTGATGGGGTTTGAGTGGTGAGGGCGCGGGTATAGAGGAGTAGGGATGGTGACTTACGATATGCGACGTCCATCCATGCGTTCTCTACATCATCGGTGATACCGACATACTTCGAAGAGTTCAAAGGGTTGGGTAGTTCAAACTTTGTGTGGCTATACTCGACGACGTGTTTTGCAGGCGCTAGGTCATATCAGCCAGTATTCATCAAAGGCACGATTAAGATCTAAGTACTTACAGAAGATGTCGAACTGATCCATTAGCTTAGCCGCTGAGTGGCCCGAGTAGTCTTTTTGCGACATAACCGAGCATAGCAACGACAGCATTGACACTGTGAAAAGGAACAGGTTGAAGAGTGTGAGATAGATGTAGCTTCTCCGCCGTTGCCTATCATCGCTTTGGTAGGGTGTTGTGATGAAAGCGGTATTCTCGGCATCGCCCTGCGATGAGCTGGAGTCGGTGTATTTTTCCATGATGTTTTTCGATTGCGCGAAGAATACAATGAATGGAGTGAAAGCACAATAAAGTGATGTTGAAAAAAAGAAGTATTAGTCGACCTGCGATAGAGAATAGAATGCTGCGCTCAACGCTTGAACAAGACGAAGGTGAATGGAGATGGAAGACCAGCGAGCGAGTAAGTGAGAGACGTTGGCGCGAAAGACTATGGTAGACCTGCTAACATCGACCCCCGATACGTTCTCGGTATCGCCATGGGTAGGTCACCGAAACACGGAACATCTCAAAGGGTGCCGCAATGCCGTGCAGGCCGCTTTCTCCAAGGCGTCTTGTTCCATCTGCCCAGGCAACATTAGCCTTGCTCCAAGGCATCAAGCTTTTACCAAGCCTTCTGAGACGCAGAAGACGGGATCGTCGCCGCTTTTTCGTTGGTTCACCTGTTGCATGGGTTTCGAAGTGGACACTTAGCCAAGACTGGATGTTCATAATTCGGCACCATCGTTTCAGCTTGGCGCGCCAGCCAAAACGAGATTCTTACACTGACATGACACGCACATGGAACAAACGTCCCAACTGCATGATGACAGAATAACGGAAATAACGTCAAAAGTTGCCAGGGCTGGAACAACAGAACCGCGGCTGCGCGCCAATGGTTTCCGACGTTAAACCCTTTCTGGACTAGTCTCGACCAAATGAGTGGTCAGTTCCCGAGGACCAACAGTCTCTATCAAAGCAAGCTCCAGATCGCATTGGCGATGCGCGAAAGGTACCCGGTGGGTGTTGTCGCGGAGCCTGAGGCAGGACCTCGTAGCCTGGCGGCTGGGTTGGACATGACCGTGTTCTCGAGACACCGACAGGCCTTGTCGACGGCTGGCGGTGTCGTTGGTGGAGACGCCAGGCCGTCAAGACTTTCTGTGTTTGGCTTCCCATGCAAACGCCTTCCATCGCCATCGCATCGAAGCGAGCACAGTGGCTTCCTGCAGGCGGCAGGTGGGGTGCCACCTCCGCTTCTGTGCCGTAGGCAATGCAACATGTCTCAGGAGTTGAAGGCGAGAGTGAGCAAGCATGCAACCGCCGTGCCTACCAGGAGTCGAGTTGACCTATAAAGCATCTCGAAGCTCCAGAAGTAAAAGGCATCAACGTTGAACGTGCTCATTCCTTCTCACATCCTGCTCAGTTCTGTTTCATCCATTCTTCTCTGCTGGCAGATCCATTCTTTCAACCGATTCCAGACTCAGTTAAACTTTATTCAATATGAGATTTACCGCACTTACTCTTTTGGCCCTGGGTGCCTCAACCTCTGCCTACGTTGTGCCAAACAACAAGCAAGCCGTTGACAATGCTGTCAAGGCACGCATGCCAGTAAGTTATGCGATGATCCTTGGCATGTCATATACTTACAGTTCTCCAGGGAAGCGGACCTGTCCACACATCCAACCTCGTTGCTGCCCTTGCAGACCGTGGAGTCGAAGCCCGTCACCACAAGGGCAAGGGTGGAAAGGCTGGCGGTGCCGGTGCTGGTGCCGGTGGCGCCGGCGCTGGTGGCTTAGCCAAGCTCTTCGGCCGTGATGCTGAAGAGTTGACCCAGGAAGAGGACGATGCTCATTGGGCCGACCTCCACACTCGCTCTCCTCATCACAAGGGCAAGGGCGGAAAAGCTGGAGGTGCTGGAGCCGGAGCCGGAGCCGGTGGCGCTGGCGGCTTGGCCAAGCTTTTCGGCCGTGATGCTGAAGAGTTGACCCAAGAAGAGGACGACGCTCACTGGGCCGACCTCCACACTCGCTCCCCTCACCACAAGGGCAAGGGCGGAAAAGCTGCTGGAGGTGCAGGTGCCGGTGGCCGAGGCAAGCTCAACAACCGCCAGGCCGAAGAGCTCACCCAGGAGGAGGACGACGCTCACTGGGCCGACCTCCACACTCGCTCTCCCCACCACAAGGGCAAGGGCGGCAAGGCTGCCGGCGGAGCTGGTGGCCGAAAGGTCAACAACCGCGAAGCCGTGCCCGAGCCCCATCACAAGGGTAAGGGAGGCAAGGCTGGAGGTGCTGGCGGAGCCGGTGCTGGCGGTTTGGCCAAGCTCTTCGGACGTGAGCCTGAGCCACACCACAAGGGCAAGGGAGGCAAGGCCGCTGGTGGTGCTGGTGGAAAGGCCAAGCTCAACAACCGCGAGGCTGTCCCCGAGCCCCATCACAAGGGCAAGGGAGGTAAGGCTGCTGGTGGCGCTGGTGGTGCTGGTGGTGCTGGTGCTGGCGGTTTGGCCAAGCTCTTCGGACGCGAGCCTGAGCCGCACCACAAGGGCAAGGGAGGCAAGGCCGGAGGTGCTGGCGGTGCTGGCGGCAAGGCCAAGCTCAACAACCGTGAGGCTATGCCTGAGCCTCACCACAAGGGCAAGGGAGGAAAGGCTGGAGGTGCCGGCGGCAAGAACAAGCAGAACAACTAGACGGACATTGCACCCTTTGGACTTGCCACGATAGATGTTAGGGGGCAGAAGAGTTGGTGGCGCGAGTAACCTGGATGATTCCTTTAGTATATCTTTTTCCTCATAATGTAGATACGGATGAAAACAATCTGATCAGTGATCAAAGAAAGACCGGCGTCTGGACGTACACATTGGTCTCTGTGATATGAGCGTGATTGTTCGTGAGCCATCCTGGAGGTATCCGAGCGACTTGAGAAACTTGTTCGTCGTGTAATAGTTGTTTGAATATATCCCCGTTCTTTCTGATGTGGAGTGACCGACAATCCCCGTGCACAGGTTCCCAGTGTCTGCTACTGTCGAGCGAGGTCAGCAGTAGCATCCCAAAGCGTCGAAAGCAAGGCCGCGCTAATGACAGCTATTGCACCGGCAAGATGGGAAAATGCTTGTAAAGAAATGTGTTAGTATATGTTTCTCCGAACGAGAATGAAAATATCTACCACACTTGTGTCTGCTCCGGTCCCTGTAGGACTAGACTTGTTGACAAAGTATAGTCTCAACATGTCCGCAGCATCTCCATCGATTCCGACTGCCGTTTTGGTGAACATGATTAGACCCCGATGGCCTACAGCTGTCGATGCGCGTTATTCAGTTGTCGTATGCAACCTGGAGCCGGTGGGCGCTGTGTGGTGAACCGGGCGATGGTAGGACTCGAACTTGCTTGAAGGTCCACAAAGAGCGACCGTCATGGATCTCAGGGACTCCTAGATAGTGGTTATTGGAGGTTGCGCTGCGTGTACAAGTTTCTGGAGTCGTGGTTGCATAGTGCTGCGCACTCGCCGCCATATGCCAGTGGGCAGAAATGATGGTACTGATAAGGAGCTGCACAGCCCATCGGGATGAAGATGTCGTGGGCAGTGTGTTTGCGAGAAGCAGGTAGATGGAGCAACGCACACAACCCAGAGCTTGTACTGCAACGTGGTCGACCGATCCTGTGGATGACTTGTCACAGCTTGGACACCATTTCGTCTCGCCGGGGTTAGTTCCGGCGTACGACTCCCGCCGCGATATCGCCGTGAATGGTTTGTGGCTCGTCGCAAGCGGAACGGCCTCGTTTGCAATCATTTGTTTCGCCGCCGCATATAATGTATTCACTGAACGATAACACGATGTTGATATGCATCAAAGATTGGTGAAAGGTCATTCGATGCGAATTGATGAGTGAATCCGCCCATTAAATATGGAAGGGATGCGAAAGAGGTGGGGATTGATGGTTGTGCATGGGCGAAGACTCCGGTGGCTCGGGAAGGATCGTCGCATCCAAAGTCAAATCACTCGCTCGTCTCATCGGGGCTAACTCCGTCGTAGCATTCACGCACAATAAAGGAAGATACCGTGGCATTGACCCGACGCAATTTCGTCGTCTCAGTTCGTTTTTACTCCGCAGATTAGACCATCACCTGTCAATTCAGGCGGCGCTTTGTTGCATGCCTTTCGCTCGTTGGTCCTCGCTCGCTTCCCGCCTCGCTGACCCACGTGCAGAATCGGGATTTCTTTCCATTTACCGTAGCCGACATTGTATCCGAGGCCGTTGAAGAGTTCGCGGATATGCTGGAAGCACTCAAGGCTCCGGTCTAATCAATGGATCTACCATCAACAATTCCCTACGAACGCCGAGCTGAGGATCCGTTATGTGTCTGAGTACAAGATCGCAAGTGTTTGTCCATTGATTGAGGATCATCGACTAGAGATGGGGGATGCCGTGGATGTTGGAGTTCTCACCAAGCCGACTGAGGAATGTTAGGCAAACTGAGCAATGCCACATGCTGAACCGGAATCGATCACTTACCGGATGTCCACGATGTTCATGACAGTGCTGTAATGAGATGCGACCATGTCTTTTGTGAAGTACCCCTCGTACGTCCTCAGACGATCAACCTTGGCCCGGTTCATGAACGGGACCAGCTTCTCCTGTTGGCACTCGGCTGCTGACTCCCAGTACAGGCCACCATTGGGTGGGTCAATGTCAAAGACCGGGGGCGCGTCTTTCATCACCCGGTAGAGTTCGCGAGCGCGCTCCAGCCGCTTCTTGTCCAGACCGCGGGCACCAGCAGCAGCTGAATCAGCAGACTCCCAAGCATGAGTGTACTCACGTTCCCATAGCTGCTCGAGGTCTTGGACACCCTGGAGATATACCTCGCGGTTTGCGTTTCGGATATCTCTTGCTGCTTGGTCTTCGCCTGGAACTGCAAACTGACACACAATCGCCTCCAAGCTCCAGTTCGTAGCAAGTGTCTTCACCTCGATGGTACTGTACTTCCCGCGGAGGAACCTTTGAATGAATGACTTCGGACCGTACCGCTCTGTTTGGACCGTGTTTCGAGCAATATTGGTAAGAAATTTCGCATGATCCTGTGACAATTCGTCATCTGGCGAACCCGCAATCGCATGGCCCATGTCGATCGGTACCGTGCCGTAGTATGCAGACAGAACTCTTCCCCTCGCGGTTACGGTATCTTGGTTGACTGGCCATACAGGGTCGTTGACGTTGAAGCCACTATTGTGTGACCTTGCTGGAACTACAGAGGATACACAGTTAGCATTGTGGGATACACAGTATTGCCGGTCAACCTTACCACGCTGCTGCTGCTCCACGAGCTCAGACCATAGAGTGAATGCGGTGACCTCGGGGTAGATCTCCGGAGGGACGTTCACTGATACTATTGCCATTGTGGCGAAGGGTGTGGTGAACGAAAAATGTGGTTAGAAAAAGGGTATTGTAATGATGCCGTTGAGAAAAGAGTGTAGAAGACTGGAAGTCAAGTCAGCAGCAGAACTGAAGTATACACCCGCCCACCCAGCCCACTGCCTTTACCTGATCGCGGGAGGAAGCGGGGCCACGTGGTTCTCTTACCCCAATACTGGGAGCACAATGTCGGGATTTCCGGTTTGATCAACGGTTCTAGGCGTGGTGTTACTATGGAGCGGCAGGTCAACCTTGGCCCCGGGAAGGTCTGCTCGTCAGCTTGTACATGAGCTTGACCAATCTCACGATTAATATCGCGTGCAATTGAGCCGGGGCGGCCTCCAGGGCTGATCTTCATCGGTAATTTGACTACCGCCAATGTGGGCGCCTAGTGAATGAGCTCACCCGCTTCTCCATGAGGCCGTGAGTAGTGTGAGCGAGCAGCAGCAGCAGCAGCAGCAGCAGCAGCGACGGCGGAGCTACACTGTGCGAGGAAGGAACTACTTTCTTCCTAGCGAACGCTTCGTTTTGCCTACTACAGCACAGCTCATCAGAGCATTACCAAAATACATCTGTGACCTGGGCGGCTACAATGGTCTAGGAACGTGAAGCATTTGTGATGATAGATTGATGTAGACGCCAGAATAGCGCGTGGTTTCCTGACTTGTGAGGCGCGAGACGCGTTTCTATTGAGCACCGGCCATCCTTGGCACACATGTGACGTCATCCATCAGTCTAATCTACCGAACTCGTCACGACAAATGCCAAGCATGCAGTTTGCAACGTCTTCATCTTCCCGTCCGACAGCACCAAGGGCTCCCCTACAGGTCTAGTTGGTGTTCCGTCCATCTTCGTCAGGCGCTGAGCGCTTCTTGCCTCGAGTTTCCGGGACCAACACAGGGATATCCTTCCATGATCCGTTCTCTGCCGCCTCAAAGTCCAGAGAGTTGCGAAGACCGCGGATGAGATCGAAGCATTCGGGGGACAGGTCACCCGACATGTCGACGCTTGTCATTCGGAGGGAACGGTCATTCAGCAGTAGCTGCAGACGCTTGCTATCATCCGGCGCGATGATCAGACGATGCAGAAGCTCGCAAGAGTACGCAAACACGTTCCCCACAATTGTGTGGAACGGAGGAATGACATCCGGAGGGTTCGCGACTTCATCGATGCACATGCGCCTGTGGGAGATTAGTAGTGTGCAAAAAGTCTCGTCCATGTCCGTAAAGTAGGTACTCACCGAATGTCGACCACAGACATCGCTGCCCCAAGGTGAGACGCGATTGTGTCTTTGGTGACGTGATCGAACCAGAACCTGACGCGCTCGTCCATCGTACGGAGCAGCAACGGGATCATCTTTGCTTGTTCGCATGCTCGGCGATTGAGGAGCGTCGTAACGTCGACGGCGCAACGGGGCGGGTTGGCCATGAGCTCTTCGCAAAGGTCGCGTGTTCGTGCCAATCGGACTTTCCTAAGACCACGTGCTTTTTCGTGTGCCGCTTTAGCCTTGTTGAATGCGACAGTGTATGTGTCGATCCAGACCTGCTCACTTGATGCCATCGCATCGAGTAATGCCTGGCGTTTGGCGGCGCGACGAGCAATGGCGGCTTCATCCTCGTTTGCAACCGAGAACTCACAGATGCGCGCCTCGATGGCGAAGTTGTGTTGACTGGTGAGGAAGTTGGACGTGCTGACCTTGCCGCGAGCGAACTTGTAGATGAATGAGTCATTGCCGAATTTCTCGACAAAGAGGTCGCTCTTCATCCTACGAAAGGTCTTTGCGGCGGTGGCTGTTTTGGTAGGGTCGGGGTGCAATCCCACCACAGTGGCCAAGAAACCATTGGGAACAGTGCCATAGTACGCTGCGATGACTCTTCCGACCTTCTTGGCGTTGGCCATGCTGACTTCCACCTTTGGAATGCCAATACTAATGCCGCTGCCTGGAGTACCTGCAGTGACTGCGGATATACAGTCAGTATTCGTAGATTGAACGGAGACGAAAGGAAGCTCACCGCGTTGTTCCTGTTCGTCCAGCTCTGTGTAGAGTGTCGACATAGGAGCCTCGCAGTTTATCTCCATGACAGGTACTATACCGAAGTCGGCCATGTTGAGGATTGTGTTTTAGTCGATGCTGAGTTATGAACGATGTCGAGTGTGGTGTAGGAGACTGGGAGATAGGTCAGTAACGAGGTTGAGTATATACCCGTCGATCAGACATGCTACCTTTACCTGAAGGTGAGAGAAGGCGTCGTAGTGGTGGGCACGTGGTCGCACGTGCTGGTTTTGCCTCGCCAACGAAATTCGAGTGTGGTTTGGAAACATATTGCGTTGTTTATATCTTCATCTTCATCCACAAAAAGGCTAATACACGCCCGCATGTAACATTCGGGAGGCTACATAACCTGTACTTCTTCAATTGATCACAGGCAGATGTGTCTCAGAAGTCTACTACGTTGTCGTCTACATGGATATGCCAACATCTGAAAAGACTGCGAGGACCTCATTATGTCATAGTACTAGCCAAATTGTACAGATAATGCTCTGAATGAGGAAGGCAGTCGATGTTCCGCTAAAATCTTGACGATTCGGGCTCTTCTTCATCTGAATCTTCTTCCTCCTCTTCCTCTTCTTCTTCTGACTCCTCCTCTTCCGACTCCGACTCAGTCCAATCCTCCTCGCCTGTTGACGAATCCCACGGCTCAGGCGACGCAGAAGAGCGACTTTCCTCCGCGTCAGTGGCGCCCTCGCCATCTTCTTCCTCGGTGCTCAGCTCCAGCTCTGAACTGTTAATATCGCCATCTTCGTATTTCCGCCTCAACTTCAGTCGCCTCTGATTCTTCTTTACCCAAAGCCTATGATCTTCCTTCTTTTGTTCCCGCGCTTGCTCTTCTTCTCTCTCCCGTCTCCTAATTGCTTCCGCTTGTCTGACCCGAAATTCTTCATCTTCCCTCCTCCTACGAGCCATGAACGCTTTCTGTTCACGCTCCTTGTGTTCCTTCGTGTTTTGTATCGCATTCCAAGTCACCCTTTTCGCTTGCCCATTTGCGAGCTCCTCTACGGAACCCATGTCGCATTGCATCCTCATGTACCCATTTCCTGCGAACCACATCTTGATTTCTCGACATCGACTCGATGTTTTTACGACAATGGGCTCGAGTGAAGCCTCCTGTGGCCAGTCAAACGGTTTGAAATCTCCTTTGATCTGTCTGGGTCCAACGATAGTGCCATAAGTTTCCGGGCGGCCACAGTGGCAGTCCATGAAATCCACTTCTGCGTCAGGATCATGAAACTCGATCCATTGATTTACGCAAAACTGTTTAAACTCCATGTTGTCGATATTCCAAAGCAGGAATTCCGTAAAGACTTCGCTTGAGAAAAGACTCCACTTGCCGTGCTTGACGTAAGGGTTGTAGATGCCCGGGGCGGGCTTGCCTTCTTCCAATGTCTTTTTGAGCGACGCGAACGCTGCGCTGACTTGTGCGTCGCGCTCCATTACTTCTTTGATATGATCGACATTTAGTTCGCGAATGATGTTTTCGGGGTCGCCGCGAGGAACACCACCAATCTTCCAATGCACATCAAGTCGACGGCGGAGTGGCACTCGTTCCATTGCTTCAATATACCTGGTAATCTCTGCTCTGGCTTCTCTCAAGCCGTCGGGTACGGGATCAGGCGGCGGGTCTTCGGGTTCAATTCTGATCCTCTTGTGCGCTCGTACAGAAGCCTCAGTGGACCTCTCGTGACGAGCAGTTGCGGTGCGCTTTGGTGGCATATTTGATGGCAATTTTGTGTTGTCAGAGGAGGGTTCCTACTTCTCCGCAACCGACGTGGAAGTGTTGGGCCTTATTTGTGCCGCGCGAGAGGAGTTGCAAGGATGCGCGCCGCCACCGAGCCAGCAACCCTTGCAGTGCCTAGATAGTCGCTATCTACAAGAACTGAAACTACTCTGGAATGCGAGAGATGTTTTAGGGAAGCTGGATTGTGGGCTCTGTTGTTCTCTTCGTGCAGGTCCTGTGACGATGCAATTGCAGCTATTACGAGCTGAATGTCGCCAAGGTAGGGTAAGTTGAATACGTCACGGTCGCCAGTTTGATCTCTTGTGATCCGCGCTCCTCCCTACGAAAGGCATAGTTTGAGCCGGAGTATTCCTGGGCGAAAGTTACAAATCATCACATTCCAGATCTGAATCATAACCGAAAAAACAAGCAATGGGTATTGTGATGCAGCGTTTCGTTTGTATTGTACACATTGCGGATCATCATGATATCCTCATGTCACATATGATACATGCGCAGTGCTCGCAGGGCGCGCGGTCCTGAACCCTCGACGTAGCAAAACGTGGGGTAAGTCTTCCCCTCCTCTCCGGCCTTCTTCCGACACAGTTCTTTTTCCTGTCCCCCTGCGCTATCATGAATCTGTACAAGCGAAGAGTATGCCGTCCATCCATGCCATGCATGCCAAAAGTATATCCCTACAACTCCAAAAGTGGGGTTGAGGCCGCGTATCTTACACAATGACCTCTCCGTGGTCGACGTGGTTCGGCCGCCACTTGCTCGTATCCAATTCGCCCTCCATGCTGCTTGGGACGGTGACCTCGACCGGCTTGTATAGGTACCATGCCTTCAATGCTGCTGCCGCTGCTCTTGTCTTGGCCTCATCTAATGAACTGCCTGATCCCTCTCCTAGTTTGTCCTTTCCGCTGTATACGCCAACCACGAAGACAGGATGTCTGCTCAGACGACCGGTTTCTGAGATCAATCGGGCAACCGGTGGCTCGAAGCCTTCTCGTGCGCATAACCGTGAAAGATCGCGTGTCGGCATTCGGAAATCGAAAATTGTGCTGATGTCGAGATGTCGGCTGAGGAAGTGGTCGCGGAAGAAGCGCTTGACGAGCGGGGAGCCCAAGTGTACGTGCAATGCGCCGATGAGGGCTCGAACGAAAGACTGAGCTGCCTCTTCCAATGGTACCGGCGTGCTCTGTAGCGCGTGCGGACTGGGTGCTGCGTTGTCGGAGCCAAATTCGTCAGTCTTCATGATTTTGTGTGTGGTGGTGATGTTCCACTTCCAGGGTGCTTGCCGCCTCAACTCTGCTGGGAGAGCATCGCCCGACTGTATCCTCTTGAATTGTAATAAGCCAGGGTCGACTTCACCACCCGGCTCCGCCGCCGCCTCAATACCCCATTCGCTTGCGATTGTGGTCAACGCTCTTGGTCCGATGTATGCCTCTGTTGCGGCGAAAACGACGTCCATTGGCAGGCGTGGGTAGTTGCATAGAAGCCACTCGGAAGTGTAGTAGCCCAGCAGCTGGCGTCCAAGTATTGATAGCGAGGCATTATTGAAGGCGGGGTTTGGGTCGGCGGAGGGGTGGATGAGGGTTCGTGCGAGAACCGGGAGGGGGAAGCGAGGTGGGAGAGATAATCGACTGCGGAGGGCGTATAATTTTGTCGAACGTTCGGCGGCACTGGGATGTGGAGATGGGAGGCTCTCGAGCGGGAGACGCCTTCTTGGTCTGGGTGTCGACGCTGACGGTGTGGCAGAGTTTGCGGCAATCTCGAGTTCCAATTCACCGTCGTCCGGAATTGCTACTGTGCTCTGGAACCGAGTCTGTATCCGGTGGCTATGAGGTATAATGCTTCTCCGCACGTTCTTTGCCGCTGTGTATGGGCACGAGGGCCGGCGTGGCGAGGGTGCACCCAGCAATTGCGAGGCGCATCGTGATATGGGTATCCGCTTCATTAAGACAAAATGTAGGAGAAGACGGCAGCAGAATCAGGAGAGGCGGAGTCGGCGGCAGCAGCAATTGGCCGGTCGTGTGTTCACACAGGTCATGATCGCGACTGCCAAAGAATTTCCGCCAAGCTTCAGGGCCCGTGCTAGCCCTCCCATGCGACAGCGACCTCAGGGCAGCTCCGCAACAGCAACCCCACGAACCCGCACAACCACCTTTACAATGGGCGGAGGAGGAAAGATCCCGTATGAGCTGCCCGCCAATCGCTTGCCAGTGCAGAGTTGACGTCGACTAGATACCCCAAGCACGTCTGGTCGCCGGCCGGTGGTTGGTACGCCCAACCCGCCAACTGGAAAGCCAACACGGCCGTCGTAGGCCTCGCCCTCGGCAGCATCGTCGGCATGGCCTGGATGCTCAGCGCAAACCGCGAGTACCGCGACAAGATGCCCGAACGCCACCGATTCTTCCCCAGCCGATAGTACGACACACATGGATATCCTCAGATCAGACTTGGAAGCTAACAACAGACAGCTGGACCAAACAGATCCGGGAACACGAGCGGAAACAAGACCAGAGCATCATCGAGAAGACTCTTGAGGGTTAGATTGGTTATGAGTGGGGAGGAGGAAACAGCGACCGCGACTATGGCTGTACATAACTAGCCAGGCGCTGCCTGAAATCTGAAAGCCTATCTTCGACACGAACCCCGTTCCACGTCTCTCCGTCTGCTGACTGTGAGAGAACGGGCATACCAACTTGCTCAATGGCGAAGCTCGCTGAAATGGATCCCCAGATCGCAGCCTCCTCGAGATACCCGGGTACCCGAACCAGGCCGACCGCCAGTCCGCCGAGAAAGCTGTTGCCTCCTCCTGTAGGGTCTTCCACTTTCTCTGCTGACTGGTGGTACGCAGGCATCCATTTGCGCAACCCTTTGCCTAACCCTTTGCGCATAACCAGGCAACCGTCTTTCCCACAACGCACGACGACCCCACCATTGCCATTACCCACACCACTGTCTAGCCACTGACCGCATAGCTCTTCGATTGTTCGGAATTCCACATGATCCTTCCCGTCGGTGTTCTTGCCAAAGAAGCCGCCAAGTTCCCCGTGGTTTGGACTGACAATGTCGACATGCTTTAGCGCCTTCAGGCAATTATCGGACTCTTCAGGCGTACAAAGATCAGGAACAGGCTCCCAGATGAAAACCGGGCGAGGTGTATTGGCCGAATTAGGATGTTGGTTGCGTAATGCGATGATGTTCTCAACCAAGTCGATGCAACGTAGCGGAGAACAGATCAGGTGAAACGACCTGGACCACAACAGGTCTGTATCCCTCAGATCTTCATGATCCACGCGTAACTTCGGTGTCAAGTATCGAAAGGCTTCGTCAGAGTGGTTAGACATGTGATCACTCACAAAGTAGACACAGACACTCACCTCGATGCTCATTTTCACCAGTATATCCATTCCAACCTCGCGTAGTCAGCCGGTTGGGCGTCTCACGTATCAGTGCACCTGTCTTCCATTGTGCAATAGAGTCGCGCAGTTCAGGTGGGAAGTCAGACCCGCAGTCTACAATCCAACCCACAGACTCTGATTGTGGCGGTGGGGAGAAGATGCGTGCGCCTAATGCGGAATATGATCCTGCTCCGCCAACGATGTCTTTGACTGGCGGCTTTGGTGGGGGAAACTCGATCTCATCTTGACAAGTTCAGTGGCTTGCCCATGTTGAGAATGTCTGACGCATACCGATGATGAACATTCCCAGCGTGCAGAAGTCAATCTTGCCATAGTTGTCGTGTGCTGCGTCGGCCATGTTGGATGTTTCCATGTCGCCTTGCGTAGATCGCAAGGTTGATAGTCTGCCGCTGACGTGCATGTCTCGAACGGACCAGGCTTGGCTGCAGACGGCTAGCGTAACGTGGGCAGCCGTGGCCATGCGCCGGGGAGAGCTGACCCAGTGAGGTTCTGCCTGCAATTGTGCTTTTCCAATTAAATATCTCCGACAGTCCTCATATTCCTATCATCGAGAGCTTGAGTTGCTGAATCACGGCCTCTCTCTACTCCGAACCAATCGAACCGCGTCGCACGAGCTGCAGCGTGCCGCGGCTGCCCCTTCCCCGAGCATTCAAGATACCTGTCCTACCTTGCAAACGCTGCGACGTGCCTTCTCCACATGGCGAACAACATGAATAACCTGACGACGCTGATCAAGCGGTAAGTACCTTCCGTCCGAGACTATCACCTACCAGCACCCGAACCCATCGTCCTACCACACTCTGCGCATCCCGCGTCCTCTATGAAACGACCCCACGATGGCTCCCAGGCCCGAACAAGCACACATCCTCGGTCGACAGGGGCAAATACAGCTCGCAGCAGACAATGTACTGACGAACATGGTCCGCAGGCTCGAAGCTGCCACCTCGCGTCTCGAAGACATCGCGAGCACCTCCCTACCCAGCAGCGGCGATGGAGCTGCCAGCCTCAATGGAGCGTCCACCGAGGCTACTCCAGGCGTCACCGCGGCCAACACAAGTGCCAGCACCCCCAAACTCGTCGCGGAAAGCGCACCACCGGCGATTGAGGCATTCGATGAGCTGGTCAGCTCGGACCTGAAGAACTGGCTGGACCTGAGCAGCAAGCTGGGAAGCGTCATTGAGGGCCAGTCCAAAGCAGTCGAGGGCGCATTCGCTGCCCAGCGCCAGTTCCTCTTCATCGCGAACAAGGCCAAGAAGCCCGACGACCGCACTCTCATGGAGCTGCTCAAGGACCTCCAGGCGAGCATGGAGAAGACGGACGAGTTCCGACAGAGCAACCGCGACCCTGCGCTCAAGGACTCCGTCTCCATGGTCGCCGATGGTGTCGGATCGCTTGGTTGGGTCACAATTGGCCAGGGCGGAGGCATGAAGCCCCATGAGCACATCAACGAGCTGTTTGGAGGAGCTCAGATGTACGGCAACAAAGTGCTTAAGGAGTACCGGGACAAGTAAGGCATGCTGGCATTCGAATCGAGGCCGAGCTAACAGATTCAGGCCCGACGGTGAAGCCCACGTCAAGTGGGTGCAGGCCTACTACAAGCTGTTCAAGGCTCTCGCCGAATACGCAAAGAAGCACCACGCTACAGGTGTAGCCTGGAACAGCAACGGCATCGACGCCAAAGATGCCGCAAAGGAAATCTCCTCGGCACCTCTCTCTGGCGCGTCCAACATTCCTCCTCCACCACCCGCTCCTCCAGCCGGAGGTGTCCCAGCACCGCCTGGTCCTCCACCACCACCGGGCCCACCGCCGCCACCAGGTGCCGCACCAGTGGCCAAGAAGGCCGCGCCCGACATGAACGCTGTCTTTGGCGATCTCAACAAGGGCTCAGATGTTACAAAGGGGCTTAAGAAGGTCGACCCAAGCCAGATGACGCATAAGAACCCATCATTGCGGGCAAGCGCATCGGTCCCTACACGAAGCGACAGCAACGACAGTCTCAGGAGTAAGAGTCCTGCGCCGCCCAAGGCGAAGAAGCCGGAGAGCATGCGGACAAAGAAGCCACCGAAGAAGGAGCTGGACGGAAACAAGTGGATAATAGTAAGTACTGCTAAGCACTATGGCTATGCAGTAGGACTTTTCACTAACTCTAATCAGGACAACTTCGACTCCCCAGGCGAGACGCTCGAAATCGACGCCGAAATCAACCACTCCATCCTCATCTCGCGCTGCAAAAACACCACCATCCGCATCAACGGCAAAGCCAACGCACTCTCGCTCGACAATTCCTCCCGCACATCCCTCATCATCGACTCGCTAGTCAGCTCCGTAGACGTCATCAAGTGCCCCAACTTTGCGCTCCAAGTCCTCGGCACCCTCCCCACCATCCTCCTCGACCAGGTCGACGGCGCCACAGTATACCTATCCAAGGACTCGCTAGCAACCGAGGTCTTCACAAGCAAGTGCAGTAGTATCAACATCAACCTGCCGACCGAAGATGACTACGCTGAGAACCCGTTGCCGGAGCAGATCAGGAGCTATGTCAAGGATGGTAAGCTTGTTAGTGAGATTGTGGAACATGCTGGATAGACTGTGTCTTTCAGTGTGCTGCGCTTTCGCGAAGAGACATCTTGGATAGTTGCTGCGACGAGTGAGGGTGACTGCTTCTTGATTTGCATAGCTAGCTTGGCTGGTGCGGACGGAGTGGGTAGCTTCGCGTCTGTAGGATAGATCTGTATAGACCGTTATTACTACACACGCAAGTGGAGTTCCTGATGATACGTGTAGTCCTAGCCAAATGTCCCCGCTGGCATCGTGTGATCAACATCTCAAATATTATTCTTGAATTTTGGCGGTAGTAACTGCTATCATGGCACTATGACCGGTGTTGGGTCCCAAACCGTTCAAAGGATGTCGGATATGATTATTGCACTCAAGGCTCTAGTCTAACTAATTGTTATAGACAGTTATGCAGAAAGATAGATCTACTATGCACAACTCTCTATAAGAGCTAACCTAACTGTCTATAATATGCCTAGGTATAAGATCGCAAGTGTTTGTCCACCGGTTAACGATCAAGGCCCGCTCAAGTACCGTTGAGACCGGCGCCGAAGGCGGGGCGGCCTCTTCGACGACTGGCGCTGGTGCGGATTCTGCAGCACGAATGTTGGCCGGCCATTTGGAGTAGTGTGTCCGGGTGTAACCTTCCACGGACAAGTCGTTCATGATCGCTTTCCCGAGGGCCTTTGCCTCAAGCTCAACGCGCACAGTCTGGTCCAGGCACCATAGATACATTGAATGCGGTCGAGGGCAGTACGGGTGGCTGGTGTGGATGTATTGCTGGTCGACGATCATGGAACCTAGAGAGAAGTTAGTACTCTCTATTACACTGACAAGAGGTTGAAGCCTTGGGTGTCAGGCGAGGACTTACACCGGATCTTTTTGTGCCAGTGGTCATAAGGCAAGTTTTCGACGTCGACTGAGCGGAGGTGCACCGTGCCCCATTCTGAGAGAACGAGGTGTCCTGGTACTGCCGCGCCCTCGGCATCGACGGCGGCGATGTGCCAGGGAGAGCTTAACAGTACGGGGGGTACCGATTTCCAGGACATAGGCTGCCCATTGGAACCGTCATAAGGCCACAACAAAAAAGGTCCATAGAAGGTGAATGCGGGTCAGTGCGCTCTTAAACACTGTTTGCTCCAGCGCAAAGAGCTGCAGCGGTCTCTGCCACCCGTTCGTTCGCCGGCCAGAGATGAAAATGACGACGCGTGTAGCCCGTGGCAGAGAGATCGCCGAGAATCGCCCCTCCCATCTCCTTTGTGTCGAGCTTTTTGATCACGGTCTGCTTGTCGAACCACAGGAATCGGGCGCTGAGCCGAGGGCAGTGGGGATTGTGGACGTTGGGCCACCTTTTGTCGATGAACTTAGTGCCTATGGAGAAGTTAGCATGGTTTCAAATCCTATACCAATTGGAGTCTAGGATATTGAGAGAACGAACACCTGAACTTAGTATGCCAAAGCCTATAGGGCAGCCGTTCGACATCCACAGACCGCAGATGGACGGTACCCCATTCGGACAGGACGGTCTTGCGCGGGACGTTGGCGCCCTCCGTATCGACAGCGGCGATGTGCCATGGCGAGGTAGGCGTCACTGGTGGAGTCGAATCCCACGACATCGGCTTTCCGTCGCGGTCCAGTATGCCCTCATATGCTGCATGTTCGATCGCGCACCCGATCGCGTTGAGGAGTGTCATTGCGGCGTCATTCACCGGGTCGTGTGCACCGTCGAACACATCTTTGGGTTTGCGTCCAGAGCTGTCGACGTGGAAAGCGAGGTGTGGAAACCCACTGGTCTTCACGAACTCCTTCGCGATATTGCTGATCGACGCACCTCGAAGCTTATCTTCCGCTCCAATGGTCCACTCATCGTCTTCGTGGCTGCGTGCCAGCCAGTACAATGGCTTCGACGAGATCAGGTCGTTATACTTAAGGTCGTCAAAATCCTTGTCGCCGATGGCGGGAATGCCGTTCTCCGCTAGATAGGTCATCTCGGCGCTCCACGAGTCGGAGAGAAGGAAGTTCTGTACTGGCGGGGCCAGCACGAGATCTGGATGGCTTGAGATCGTGGATGGCCGGCATCGAATCGATGGGCAAAGCGAGACGAGACTGGAAGCAAATATGGGGTCGTGTTGGATGGTGGAAGCGGAGACGTCTTTTGGTTGCGATGGGAGTGGATGTGAAGATAAGAGGTATTTGAAGCTTCTGATGTACTTGAGTGCTTACTGCGGCCTTGGTGGGTGACCATTGTTTACCGACGCGTCGATGATGTCAGATCCTATGCGGATGTCGCGTCTGCGTCCTGGGGAAGGAACCACGGTCTGACCCCATCCTCAATCCCACTTGACGACATTCCCGCGTATAGGTCTATGATCATAATCGAGGTCGAAGCTACGGCTTTGTCAAGGCCTTTGTGTCTCCTCACCTGTCCAAAAGTTACGGGTGTTGTGCCTACACACCTGCTCTTTCCTCCACAATTGGCGCCTGGTATGGGCTCGGGTGGGCTTTTCCTTCCTAGGGCGCATCGCTAAGTCCAAGCCCATAGTCACGGTGGTGTAAATGCCCCCTTCTTAGTGTAAAGTAGCTCATGATCATTGCTCTAGATGCTCGCTGGATGCCGCGTCGCTAATAAAGATGCTACGAAACGGGAAGCAAACGAAAAGAAAGAAAGAACCAAGATAATCATCCAAAGAGGGTCGCAAGAAGGGGTATCAAAGGTCCGACCCAAATCCAGTACGGACAAGATATGAAGAAAGTAAGAAAGGCCTCCCTGCCTGTGGCGACCATACACACATCCTCGGCGTATTCTCGTCGAAGTCGTGTCTGAGGCGTTGTAAGGCTCCGTCTCATCCCGAGCTGTCAAGTTTCACACTCAACATTGGCTTCGGCATGCCAATTGCCCGACAACCATCAAAAGTCGATGTCTAACATGTTTCGCCAAGTATCACCTCAGCGTGAGTCCATGTTTGACACGCTGTCCGAAGTTTCCGATTACCAACCACCCGCTGGTTCTAACCTGCGGGTCTGCGTCTGGAAATAGCCATCGAAGACGCTTAGCTCGGGCTTGCGTGGCACGTGATGCTCCGAGATGTCAACCAACGTCGCGGTTGTTGCGCCGTTGACGCCGAGCGATGCGGCCGCCTGTCCACTGTAACCGCCGCCGTCCAAGCTACGTCGTCTTCCGCCTGTAGCTTTGCCGCTGTTTAGGCTGGCCAGCACAAAGCGCATCTTAATCCTCTCTTTCGGTCCGGGTAGGAGCATCTTCTCAATGATAGTCAGCCAGTCGGCTTCCGCCTTCAGCTGCCTCAGCTTCCTTCCAGACCCGATGAGTCCGTTTCGGAGGTTCGAGGTGGTGGCAGCGTGGAGCCGGTTTCGCCAACTTGCCACCCGGTCGAGATGTGCATGGTATGAGGCGTCCTGGGTGTTGGCAGCCCGGTACTGTGCAAATACTGATAGCGACTGGCCTTGTGCGACTGTCATCATCGACAAGAAAACACAGCCCAACGAGAAAACGTCTGCCATTCTCTTGCCGCGTGAGACAATAGCCTCAGGTGCAGCGTAGACGTAGGACTGATCTTGGAAGTATGTGTGTAGCTGGTCCAGGCGTTGGGAGTTGGCCATTGTCGGGCTGAATGTGTCGATGCTCTGCCCAATGTCAAATGGTGCAAGTAGAATGCGAGCACCATCAATCAAAATCTTGCGAGGTCGGATGCTTCGATGACAGATGGACTGCGAATGGAGATATTCAAGAGCAGAGGACAAGTCGCCCATCCAGTCCACCAGCAACTTCGAGCGGTTTGGGTCCGTTCCAGGCAGCGCAAGGAAGTCGTCCAGAGTGTACTGTGCTTTCTCCGTGATGATGCCAACATGACTGGGCTGGGCATACGAGCAAAGCAACTTCGCAATGTTCTTATGCTCATATTGCTTGAACTTGTTGATCTGGTCTAACAGCGCAGCTTTTTGAGCGGAGCGAGCAGTGACAAAGCGCTTTCGCACAAGCACACGATCCTCGCTGCTACCTTGCATCTTGACCCAGTCGACGCTCTTCTCAGAATTGCGCGACGATCGAATGAGACTGATGTGCTGTAATGGCACTGTTTCACGTGCGGTGTAGTCAACATGTGCTCCCGTCAACGGTAGTTCTTTGGATGTGGCACGCCATTGTTCGTCGACAACCTTCCGCGCATTTCCTACGATTCCTTGAAGACGGTCCTCTGGGAATGGCAGGCTCTCATCTCGAAGGTCGAAGAAGGAAGCTTGGCGCCATGATGCGACATCGTCGCAAACGAACAAGAGGATTGCGAGCCTGGGGTTCGACAACGTCCACTGCCATATCTTCTTGACTAGGCCAGCATCCCATCCCTGCTTTCGCACGAGCTCGTAGAACCACCCGGAAAGAGACTGGCCTTGTGAAGACAAGATTGATGTATTGATGTATCCGTTTACCAATGGAACAAGGGGAGCAGCAGGTTGTCGGTACGGGTTCATGGGTGAACCCGGGTAATCGCCATTCCTGAACGACTCACCAGAAGCTGAGGGAGGCGGTGACATGGGCGCAAATCCTGCTACCGGATTAATGACCCTTATTGGCTGGGGGGCGATGGGCTGGGGCGTTGTCGATCGGCTGGTGTATTGCGGGGTATGTTTTGGGCTGCCTTTGGGCGACGATGAGTCGGACGACTTGTTGGAATATGTCGAAGCTGGGCTGACCATTACGTTCGACCACGGGTTGTTGTTCGTTGTTGTGGGCGTTGTACTTCGGCTGGTGGCGGACGAGGCGGACGAGACTGTTGGAGATGCGGTCTCGCGGTTGTTGTACCACGATTGATCATCGTCTCGGAGGTTGACCATGGATATGGTGTGCTGGAGACTGTATTGGGGTTTGGGATATTGCATCGCAGGCGTCCGCCACGGCGAGTTCGAGGCGTGCTGCATTGCGTGTAGGTGGTCGGCGCGTGACCAACGAAGAGCGTCCTCGGGGAATGTTAGATGTTTGCAGCGACTGTGGACTTGACTCGTATGGGCTTGTGACGATGTACAAAAAACAAACAAAGAGAATGAGCGTAACAGAGCGAGAAACGTGAGAGCCTTGAAGGACGACTTGGGTCCAGGTGCCCTGGTCTGCAGATGAAGTACAGCGGGACCCTTCGGGCAGAGTCGACCGCTTACACTGTGACAAGCCCAAATAAGGCTGCTCCAAGTAGAGGTCTAGAGGCTTTTGATGTGCTGGCAGTTAGTGCCCGCATTTTGCAACACATTAGTGGAGGATGACAATATATGGGCATAGGCAGTGGGTGTATGTGTTGGGCGAATGCACGCTGGGCACAAGCGCACCCATGTGGATTAGTTGTATGCAGGCGAACGTGGCCACCTCAGAGTCGCCTTCATCGTCAAAGGCGTATCGTGTGCATATGTTCGCAGCCCATACTTTCCCGTATGGTGCCAGATCATCGAGCAGTCTGATATGGAGCGCGCGATCCGTCCCGTACCCAGTAAGTGTGGTCGGCAGTGTGCCTGACTATGCGTGCGTTGCGCGACGAGGCCGCTAAGTTGCTGCAAGACTAAGACCACACGACGAGCAACGGACGCAGGACGCAGGACCTCTGTGCTCTGGTACACAGTGAATAACTATTGGCATAAAGGGAGATACCGCGGATATGCGCATTCGGGTGTTGGCCGTGTGGAGGTTGGGACACGAGGTTTCACAGCTCACCGTCTCTTCTCGGCACGCACACCGGGAACAACTAATGTCCGTGTGGCTTCGGGAGTGACGTGCTTCGACAGCAGCGAGGCGGCTGGGTCCGTTGGGCGGTATTGAAGATGCGGTCGATGTTGTACAGTTGTCCAGGTGTGTTGCGCCCCGGCGACCCGCCTGTATCAGCGCGAGTGTCGCAGGTCCAAGATGACAGCGGCCGCTACCCGTGTCAACATCGCCCGTTTATGAGGAAGCACGCGCCGGAAGCCACACAGCAGGAGATTTTGCGATGCACCGATGGCGCAGCGGAGGCTGGTGCGATGGGAAACTCAGGACATCGGCTTCTGCACGGCTCCAGGGTGAAACCGAGAAGCCGGGAGAAGCGGCACACGACGATGCTATTGGCTCGGAGGACGACGTCACGTGCCCTGTTAGCGCACACCTGAAGCGCCCCTAGTTTTAGCATCGTTCCCCGACTCCAGACCTCAACACCAATTGTCTCAAGGGGCCCAGCATCGTCATGCCCAGTGCGCCCCCACTCCCGAACGGTTCGATCTCCAGGCCACAGCTTGGTTGGCTCCCACCAAATGCGGCTCTACTATGCTAAATTAAGCTTCTTCTTAGTCGCCTCGGGATCAACGCATAGAAATGTCGTGTGCCACCCGTCACAGCCTCAAGCAGAGTCCGTCTCAACTCTGTTATGGAGCCTCAAGCCAGTCTTGGTGCTGCTTTTCGAGTCTGGTGCCCGACCTGAGTCACACCATTGCGAGCCGTTCTCGTCCGATCCACCCATTGCCGTGATTCGCATACCGCGTTTCTTCATGCTCGCGTGTTCGACTTTTCTAATTCGCTTTTGCTAATGACACTTCTAATGCCCGTTTCTTTTCAGCAGTGATTAGCCTTTGCTTCGTCGTTCTTTCTTCGCTCGCCACTTTCTTTCTCGTAAGCTGCTGGGCAGCCCGGCCACCTTCGCACTACCGACTTTAATTTTCCGGCGTCGACTAATACTACCTCGACCATGTTTTTCAAGAGCGCTTTCGTAGGCACTCTGCTTGCTGCTGGACACGCAATTGCCTTCAAGGGCCCCCAAGTGAACGCGCTTCTCGAGCCAGGCCAGGACGTGGAGGAGGTACTTCGGAGGGACGCAGAGCTCATGGCAACCCTTACGCAAAGACAAGATGCCAACTCTGCCGATACAGCACCGCTAGCATCGCTGACACCCGCGACTGGTGATGCGTCGGGTGTCGATCAAGCGAAGTGGGAGCAACAGACAAAGGAAGCATGTATGAGCACGCTCAGCAATCTCAACGGCCAAGCGTCGAACCCGAGTGGAATCGCCGTGTGCTACAACCTACCTTTCCTTGACAACAAGACGGGTGTCTTCCAGGCGGAGCTCCGAATGTATAATGTATCAGCTCCCATCAACCCATGGGTTGGCGTTACCGCGGCCGATGTCAGCATGACACTTTCGTACCTCGGTGCGACTGTGCAGAACATGCAAGGCAACTTTACCAAGCGAGACCTCAGCTGGCCAGTCAGTGAGGGTATGCTGGTTGAGAGGCAGGACATCAACAGCATGACGGAACTCAAGGTCCTCATGTATGTCGGAAGGATTAATGAGAACCTGATGGGCTCAGCCATGACCCAGTACGTATCCCTCTTCGTAATTCATATTTCTGTCTCTAACATATTTGCAGAGAATCCCTCCAGCCCCTTCTCATCCCGCAAATCGACCTCGCTGCGCGAAACCCTGCAACCGGCCAGGATGTCGAAACCACTCTCTCTTCCCAGGAGGCATCATTCGTCAATGGTATCTTCTCCAAGGCAGGCAACGCTCCCACCAACGCAGATCCCCAAGCCGCAGCATCCGCATCCGCTGCCGTCTCCTCGGCCGCACCGTTCATCATCCCCGGAACTGCCTTGGCTTTCTTCCCAATCGGCCTGGTTGTCACATCCGTATGGGCGCTCTTCTTCTTCCTTGCCGTTGGATTCGGAACATACGGTCGCATCCAATACCGTGACCAATACAGGAGGCGTGTACGCGCCGAGTTGGCACGTGGCGTCCGCACCATCTAATACCCGACTTGGTGTCTCTGTTCATTGCTTCGCTATTTCTAAGAGCTAGTATCGGAAGTTTAGGCTACTATGAAGATTACGTTCGCTGCTATACCCCTTCCCTTTTACACCTTGTACATAATTCTGGTGGCGATGGAGCTAGCTCCTCCCACCATCTTCTCAGCAGCATCCCGGCGATGAGTCCCTACATGTTCTCAGCAACGCGATAGAAAAGTACATTCAAGCAAGTAAAACAAAGGAAAACTCAGTATTGTCGAACATCTCTTGGCTTCCGCGTTACCCGTATCCTGTCATGTCTTTCACTCCAATTATCATCGAGTCCACGGTCGTAACCGTTAGTTAGGTCGTACACGGTACGCACGCGCTCCCGTCTAGATCAGCAGAGACCGCCTCTAGTCGACGCTGGCTTGATCGCCTCTTCCTTCTTTCTCGCGGCCTTGTAACCCAGCCTAATCGAGGTGTAGTCCGGTTTGGGTAGGTCCCAGTTCGTTTTGAGAGGTAAGTGGCTCGGATCAGCAGTGGCTTTCGACGATACTGCAAGCGCCCTACAATACGAGACTCGGCGGAGGCGAGCATGCTCTCGCTGTAAGATCATGGTGAGACTAGATTCAGACTAATTCGCTGCAGTGATTTCATTGACAAAAACCCAACTTCAATTGCTGCGCCGTGCTGGTTTACATGCGGATGACGATCACATACGTCTCTACCTCTCACTCAGCCATTGATTCTATCTTCAAGAGAGATTCTGACTTGAAGCGGAACCCGTCGAGGTCAAAACAGTACCGTTTGTATCGTTGCCACGCGCCGCCACTCGGGCCCAGCGTAAAGTGCCTTCACCGGACCAACGAGTAACCACTCAACCCTTCAATTGCTGACACCCACCGATCAAGTCGAACAATCGCTATTAGCACATACTTTACACTCTTTAGCCCGTTGCGCGACAGTATTCTTCTCACACCTCACGCTCACTCAGCCATTTTACCGTCGCTCCCTCATCGTCAACATCAACAACTCGGCCCTCGACCCACACTCTTTTCAGACCCATCGAGATTCTAACGAGTAACAACAAGTTCTCAAGCAACATGAAGATCTTCGCTATCATCCTCGCGCTCGCCGCCACCATTGTGTCCGCCGCGCCCGCCGCCGACGAGGGCACCACGCTCGTGACCCGCGACGCAAACTGCGACTTCTGTTTGGAACGCTACAACTTCTGTCTCCAGGTAAGCGAAAGGTTATGGTGGCAATTTTTGTGCAATCCAGACTGACGAGGTGGTAGAACGGCCATACTGAGGGACAGGCCGGTTGCAAACAGACCTGCGTTGAGCATGTGTGCCACGTCTACCGCTACCAGGGCCACGAGGTATGTATTCATGTAACTCTGTAGGGTTGGTGTCCTGAATTCGGCTGACAATAGGGGAATAGTGCAAGGACTGCGGTGGCGATTTCGACAAATGCCGTGAGAAATCCCGATACGCCTAGGTGACGGACTGTTATACGAGACCGCGGGATTTTCGATCCGTGTCAACATCGTTTGCGATACGTAGAATGAAGTGTAGTATACACAAGAAGAATCCTGGGAGTCGCCTTGGGGTTGTGCGTGGCGGTCATGGCTATTGAGTGTACATTGGATACGAATGAACCACTTTCACTGCTGATGTGGCTTTTCATCTAAACTTGCGTCTCTTTGTAATCGCGAAGATCTGGATTACAACTCAAACCTTTTCCTTCGGCAAAGTCCACTCTCCCTTCTCCACCCTCTCACATATCTCCTTGATGGTCTTAGCAGCCCACTCGAAGTCCGCCATCTCCAAGTACACCTGCCCGCTCAACCTCGTCCACCAAACACCCGCGTACCATTTCATCATAATGAAGGTACCATACTCCTCACAACTGAGTCTCTCCATGAAGTCCCTGATCAGGTTGCCGACTTCTTCCTTGTCGATGCCATTCTTAGTCGCGACATCTTGGGCCAGAGACGGCGATATCGGCAGGCGAACATTGGACAAACAACACTGTCCCAACGTACCAGTGCTATTCTCCATGACTTCAGTGCCAAGAACGCTGGCGACGTGTTTACCGGCTTCACGGGCGAGCGTTTGGCAATAGTCCATGATGACGGTCTCGCCTCCGAGAGATTCGCGCCACTTCAAGGCTGCGGGTACGCACAAGTAGGGGCTGTTGTCGATGGTACCCACAAACTCGAAGTTGCTAACGAAGGGCGATTTATCCGGGCTGACGAACGCCGATTTTGGCATAGGTGAATCGACCTTTTCGCCCTTGGGTGTGAAGCCGTGGGATGTGGGAAGCGTACTGCGAATGATGTCTTGGTTTCGGTGGGCGACGTGGAAGATTGCGCAGCCGCGGGGGACGTGGAGCCATCTATGCTGGATTAGTATAATTGGATGTAGAATGACAAGAGATAGAACTGACTTGTGGCAGTTGCTCACGAAGAAATCTGGGTCCAATGCACCCAGATCGATGTTCAAGTGGCCAACCCCATGGGCCCCATCGATGCAGCTCATGACGCCAAGCTCTTTACACTTCTGTGTCAAGCGCTCGAACGGCATCCTGACACCAGGCGCACTAACCACGGTATCGAAGACTGCGATTCGCACTTTCCCACCTTTGCTCTCTACCTCCTTGACCTTCTTCTCGAACTCGGTTAGTAGCCAGTCGTCTTCTACGGGAAAGGTGTATGCGATCTTGACACTCTCCGCGGGGGTAGTCTCAGTGACGTATGATACTGTCTTCTCGCAAGCTCCATAGATGGTACTGAAGATGAGGATATGCTCGCCGGGTTGGAAGACAATGTTGCGAAGAACGGTGTTCACTCCGGTGCTGGCATTGGGTACGAAGACCAGGGTTGATGAAGGTGTGTTGAGCAGCTATAGCATTGTTAATGAGAGAAATTGGAGGCCTCTTAGGTAGCTATATGTGTCATAGGTCTCCTGTACTGGTATCAAGATGAGTAACGTACCTTCGCCATGTCTTCCCGAGCTTCATCGAGGATCACAGGGTATCTGTATCTGATGAAGGGGTCTGGACGACCTTCGCATTCATCTTGGAAAGCACGCATAGTGTCGCGAACTGAGCGAGGGATGGTTCCAAAGGAGCCTGATTCCGATTAGTCTACGCCTAGAGAACATATCTTGCCAGAGATATCTGAGCAAATATGCCCATAAAAATATAGGGCGATACTGCTGATGTGTGGAAGGTTGAAAGAGCCATGAACATACCATGGTTCAAGTTCAGAAATCCTTTCTTAAAGCAGAACTCTTTCTCCCTCAGCTCTTTTCCGAACTTGACTCCATCCTTCGTCTTGACCTCCAGGGCGGCGTTGTCCAAGCTTGACGTCATAACTCAAATCGTTCGGACGATGTTGTTTGTATCATCGAAAGTCCAGCGAGACACGTCTAGTTATATAGACATATAAGATGTGACTCAATGTTGTTGTGACTGTTTCCCTGATATCGCTTGGCGAATGAATCTGGGACCGCAGGGCGCATGTAACAAAGCGTCAGCGGGGAGCGATTGACCAATCAGAGCCGCTAGCGGATAGAAGCGGCGGGGATGTGGGGTAGGCACATACGAGGAAGAACATCATGACTGTTGAGTCCTGTGCAAGTCGCGTCGTCTGCATAACTTTCGCCAACAGCGGCTGCAATGCTGAGTATTTCCATCAGCCGGAACTTGGGGAGTATTGGATAGCTTGCCGCGAGTCATACCACCAGGGCCAAGGGCGAACAGCTCCATGCCACGACACCTGATGTTCGAAAGGCAGCATTAGCATGCTGCGTGATGTGCAGCCTACACTTCGAGGTACAATATACATGCGTGCCAGTAACCTCTTCGGAGAAAGAGCGCTGCAGTTCGGCCATATTTCCGTCCTATGACCGCTCGCGACAACTCAACACGCGGGCCGCGCTCGTTGGCTGCGCAGCTATCCCGCGCCACCTAGATATCCCGAGGCAACATTTATGGATTCCTCATGTCCCAAGTACCAGGCCTTATTAAGACGTTCACTGCTAGTCGGACAATCAATATTTACCAAAGTCCGCGATTATGAGGCAACTGACATCATTCCCAACCATCGACGTCCTAGTAATAGGCGGAGGAAATGCGGGCTTCTCCGCCGCAACAGCGGCCGCAGAAGCAGGAGCACGCCGGGTCGTCCTCATCGAAAAAGCACCAGAAGATTGGGCCGGAGGTAACAGCTACTTCACAGCAGGCGCCTTCCGCACCGTGCACAGCGGTACCAGCGACCTCCTACCCATCGTCAACAACGTCGATGCCGAAACAGCAAAACTCACAGACATGGAACCATACACCAAAGATGATTTCCAGGAAGATATGGATCGAGTATGCCTAGGCCGTTCAGATCCAGCCCTTAGCAAAGCGCTCATCTCAGAATCCAACGAGGCCGTAAAATGGCTCGCAAACAACGGTATCCGATACCAACTCTCCTTCAACCGCCAAGCTTACAAAGTAAACGGCCGCTACAAGTTCTGGGGCGGCATGGCCCTCAAGACGCAAGACGGCGGAAAGGGTCTCATGCTAGACCACCAAGCCTGCGCCCGCAGACACGGAATCGAAGTTTACTACTCCACGCCTGCCAAACGCATCGTAACCTCTCTCTCCGGTGCCATCACCGGCGTTGTCGTAGACTACAAGGGTATATCCACCCATATACCCACCAAAGCCGTCATCCTTGCCGCGGGAGGCTTCGAAGCAAACCCACGCATGCGCGCCCAATACCTCGGTCCATCCTGGGATCTCGCGCGCGTCCGCGGTACGCCCTTCAACACAGGCGAAGTCCTCGAGTGCGCCATCCGCGACGTGGATGCGAAGCAAGCAGGGAACTGGTCTGGGTGCCATTCTACCTGCTGGGATGCTAACGCGCCTGCGAACAGCGGCGACCGGCTTATCTCGAATGAATTCACCAAGTCGGGATATCCGCTTGGCATTATGGTCAACACAGAGGGAAAAAGGTTTGTAGACGAGGGCATCGATATGCGGAATTACACGTATGCGAAGTTTGGACGTGCGATACATGGGCAGCCTGATGGGGTGGCGTGGCAGGTTTGGGATCAGAGGGTTGTGGGGTGGTTGAGGGAGGAGGAGTACAGGGATGAGAGGGTAGAGAAGGTTTGGGGGAAGACGGTTGAGGAGTTGGCGGGGAAGTTGGCGGGGGAGGGGGGGTTGACTGAGCCGGAGAGGTTTGTGGAGACGGTGAAGGAGTATAACGAGGCGGTTTATGCGGCGATGGCTGAGAATCCGAAGAGGAAGTGGGACCCGGCGGTAAAGGATGGGCTTACTACGCAGTCGTCCAAGAAGAAGCTGGAACTGGCGAAGTCGAACTGGGCGCTGCCGCTCGATAAAGGCCCGTTCATGGCTGTTAAAGTATGTTGCGGTGTTACCTTCACGTTCGGAGGTTTGGCTGTCAATCCGGAGACTACAGCTGTTATATCGAACTCTGGAAGAGAGGTTACGGGGCTGTTTTGTGTTGGAGAGATGCTGGGTGGTCTGTTCTATGGGAACTATCCTGGAGGTAGTGGCTTGACTTCTGGGGCGGTATTTGGGAGGAGAGCTGGGACGGCAGCGGCGAGATTAGCTGCTATCGGGGATACTGCGATGTCTTCAAAGCGGCCTGCGATTCTATCACTTTTATAATGGGTCTGGCTAAGAATGAACACATTTGGTGTTGACAAGATCCAAAGTCATCGCAGTGTATTTACAGGCTATATAGTTATCCAGTCCTCTGGAACTACGGAAATAGAAGATACAATGAAGACGCTCGTGGTTGCGACCTTGCAACACCGAATTGTCAATGTGAAAAGGATGACATGTCAAACCCTTCCAGGGCACCTCTCTAGAATGGGTGCTAATTGAAAGAAACGAATCGTTCCACCTTATACAAGAAAAAAACTGAACAGGTCTAGAGACTACATTAACGCTAAGTCACCTATCTTGTAGGGTTTTAAGTTGATGTAGGTTGCAGGCCTGTTTAGTTCTTTTCCTGGTTGGCGTGATTCTGTGCTATGGATGCATCTTCGCAAAACCGGGTCCTTTCGTACACACTGCAAGTGATGTCGCCAGATCAACAATCATCTTCGCCCTTTTCGAAGATAGCAAAGCCAGGATACTCGAAAGTTCTGCTCAGCCCAGGATGAGTCTCGGCAGTCCACAATGAGTTTGTATCGATCAGGCGAACCTTTTGCGCTGCCAACAACAGATGATCGTCCTCGACGTACTTGAACATGCGGTAGTCGGTATTCTGAGTTCCCGGTAGTTTGGGCCTCGGCGATTGAGATGGATATACATGTCTAAGATGAGCATGACTAATGCGACGTTGGGGATAATCGCAGACTAGATTTCGAGGGTCAAGCAACCGTAATTCTTCGAGATTGAGGGTCGCTAGCCGCTGTAGCAGACTGCTCCAATTTCCAGGTTCATCCAGTAGAATATGTGCGAATGCAAGCTTCTTAACATTCGGAAAGATTTTCATGGAATGAATAATGTCGTGCTCATCGAACAAATGCTGCTGGTCTGCCATCAGGCGGAACTCTTTCAGCTTCTCTAGTTGGTATGACATATTTGAGAGGAAGGAGTAGCTTAGACGGAACGGTTCATCGAAAGGCCCGCCCCATCGGCTACAATGCGGTGGACTCCTTGATAGCGTGATATCCAGGTACTCAAGGTTTTTCAGCTCTTCTAGACCGTCGGATATCAACAGGGGCCTTCTGATGTGCTGGGTGATAGTGATAGCGACACGCTTTAAACCTCTGGGGAACCACCTGAACAGATCGCGCCCGAAATATAGATTTTCCTCAGTTTCAGGAAGGGCAGTACCAAATGTGATTGCGCAGTGCGACGCCCTATTACCAAGCAGTGGACTCTCGAGAGTACTTAACCAGACGTGGGACTCCTCGAACGCTTCCATGATCTGCAAATGCAAGAGCACGAAGTCAGTGTATGTCTCGCAATTCGTACAGTAATTATCTCACCTTGGGAAAAATCCACTGGCTCTCCTTCTGGACACCTTGCCAAGAGTATTCGCCTTCATCGAGTGCTGGGTAACCGTATCTGGAGCGGTCTGGTCCTCCTTGGAAGCACGTCTCAAGCGATGTGCGGTCTGAGTCTGTTACCTCCCAATTGGGCCAGGTGCCATCGAGGCAGTTTGGGTGGATTGGATAGTATCGAAAGTGCTCTATCCAGCTAAACCGACGTAGCAGGTGCACAAGATAATGTGTGACAGAGTTCTCCTTGTCGAGCTCATCGCGACCAGGACCCCAGCGGTCATGGTCTTTAAGAGTCACGAGACCCAGGTCCATACCGCAGATTGTGATCGCCCCACTGAAATAGCAAGAGTACTTCGGGATTTCGCTTATCTCTTCAAGTGCTGGGAGGCGATGGTTGTACCACACGAAAGGTGTCAGGGAAAGCACACCGACAAAGACGCTAGTCAAAGCTTTCGAATCGAACCAACGGCGTGCGACGAGCCGGCAATTGAGAATTGTACGAATAGAGATTTTCGGAACGTTGTGAAATCGCTCAGTCGTGGGTTGCTCCGTATTCCAGAGGTTGAGGAAGACATTGTCGAGTATTTCCTGTGGTAAATGGACCATAGTCGGTTGTATTCGGGTCCTGTCCTATAGACTGTGCAGACGAAGAGAGGAAAAGTGCGAGATTTTATAATAGGACTTGCGCGTTCGTCAACGGCTACCCGTGACCATGCAAACGGTGCATACATCACGGTGAGGTAACACGCCTGCGGAGAAGGTATCGATGTAAATATGCAAACGCCCAATGCTGTGAGATCTGATCGATCAATCACCTGAGGCGGCTCGAATGACACGTGTATTCGGGAACGATCAAACGCTTCTGCTCCACGTGCATAAGCGTTGTTGCGACAGAACACATGGAACCCGGGTATCAATAAACCAAACGCCTTGCTCAAGCCCATGTCCCGGGTATCTACCTTTTTCTCGTTCTCTTCGGCGCTGGCTTTGGTTTCGCGCGATTCGTTCGGCGAGTAGTTGGCGCACTGTCTTCTTCAGACTCGGCACTAGATTCTTCATCGTCATCATCTTCGTCCTCTTCTTCTGCGGATTCAGATACGGTGCTCTGGGCCTTACTGTTCTTTGCAGCAGTGGCTCCAGCCTTGGTACCCTTACCACCCTTTGCAGCCTTGCCTGTTCTTGTGTTCTTTGCGTTCTTGGGTACAGGAGTGGCTTCGGTTACGCTCTCAGCCTTTTGCGAGTGCACGCCATCGGGGAGGTCTTTCAGTAGGCCGATGCCTGGCGCGTAGAGTTCTTTGTATTTTTGGATGGGCGTCATGGGCGGCGACGAGCCAGTGGCTGAAGATTCACGATGGAAGCGCTGGAGCCACATGAGCTTGCCATACTCGTCTTCTGGCAGCTCGAACTCGGGCATGTTGTTGGCGTCGTCGGGGTCTAGCGGGTCTGGGTCTTCGGAGAAAGCGAACTCGTTCTCGCGCGTATCGAGGGCGTCCAGGTCGTATAGCTGCGACAGCTTCTTCCAGACACCGGGAATGCGCGTGTGAGGAGCGTCGTCACTCGCGAAGCCATGCGAGCGCATGTCGGTATGGATGGAGATCATACGAAAGTGCTTGTGCATACCTGAGGATGTCAATCACGTGTCTGATAATAGAGTTTACTATGTCGTACCGGTAGGCTTCCACTTCATCATGCTTTTCAATAGCTGTGTCTCCTGCTCGTCGGCCCACGGATCGCTGAGCAGCTCATCTTGCGACTGGACAACGCCTGAGTCTTGCGGTGTTTGGGGCTGAGTGTCGCGCAGGGGCGTGGAAGCTGCACTCGCCTTTGCCTTCTTTCGGGGCGGCATGGTGTGGATGTTTGGTCGTGGGAGTGAAGGGAAGTGAGTGAAGGAAACGCGCAGTCGCGAGCTGCAGGTACAGTGACGGAAGGCGCAAGGGTCCGCGTAGGGCTGAGTCGCCAAAACTATGGCGCGTCATACCCCTCCCTCACCCTCGACTACTCCACATCCGCCGCCATGGATGCGCGTGATTCGATTCACGACGTCTTCAGTACCGAGCATCTGTGGAGGCAGCCTTCCTTTTTTGACGACGATTCTCCAGAGTCGTCGCTCTTCGCTCCCCTGGAGCTAGACAGTGGGTCGTCGCGTCTTTTCATCCGAGCATGTGAACGCGGTGCTGACCAGCCACAGTCTCTTCAATCAGATTCGACCATCCTTACGCGCCCAAACATGACCTCGAACGCGAATTGCGACTGCCTGATCTGGACACGTTCGAATTCGGACCGCTACCCGAGCTCGACAGTTTCGACGACGATAGCATTCCCATCGAGACACCGCCCTTAGAGCCCGAAGAAGACGTCTGGAAGGTAGCCCTTGACCTGGGACCTGCGAACAAAGATGTCCTGTTCTATACCTGGGAGTCGTTCGAAAAGGGAAGGCACGTCGAAAGCCAGACGCCATACATAACTGAGCATGGCCCCGAGACCTTCGATGCGACGCTGGTGCGAGACGAGGGCAAGAATGCTGGTCGGATACTGAAAGGAGATGTACTCTTGCAATCGCTCTGGAACCTTGGTCTAGGCCGATCCTCTATACTCTTCCAGTTCAACCCAAAGCTGAAGACGTTCCAGCCCGCCATACCGGATGGACGAGCTTCGGGACTGAGCCTACAAGCAGCGCAGAGCTTGATCCTGTACTTTACTTTCATCGGCAACACATTCCTTTATCTACGCTCTTTCGCAGAGCGCACCTTTGCCTCGGCAGCGTCGATCCCCGCAAGAGTCGCTCTGGCCACATCAATATCGAGCGTCCTTTCAAGCCTGGAAGATACCCTAGGAAAGCAATCTACCAAGATCCGCTCGCTCATCCAGCTTCAGCACCAGTTTGCGAAGCCTCGCAATATCCTTGTTCACGTTGCTCGTATGGCAGATGCTGTCAAGCATGCCAAAACCAACGAGCAACTGTCGTCCATATTACACCACCGCCTGCTTGAGCTGGAAGAGGGGGATGAACAGCTTCGACAGCTCTCATGCCAGGTGCTCAGTCAAGTATCCAGACCAAGCTTGGAGCTCCTCGGGGAATGGATGGGCATCAGGAAAGAGCAAGTTTCTGTGCCCATTTGGCAGCGCAATAGCTTCGTAACTGTTGAAGACCCCACTGGCGATACTCTTACATTAGACTACACGTACAGATCCGAAATGATGCCAAGGTTCATTTCCCCAGAAGATGGTAACACGATATTTGAGACAGGTCACAGTCTTCGCTTCTTGAAATTGCAGCATCCCTATCATCCCCTGGCTCGCCTTGATGGGTTAGCAGTTCAGCCTCCGGACATGGATTGGGGCTTTCAATGGCAAGATATCGAGATACTAGCGTCAAAGGCAAAAGCGTACGAAGAGAGGCTCCGACAAGCATTGCTCGCTTTCAGCACAGGATCACATAACGAAACAGCTGCTCTCTCTACCCAATCAGCACCCAATTTTGCGACTGAGATCCCGACGAACTCTCAAGATCTCGATCGATACTTTGAAGACTCTATCCGGCGCATGGATGACACACCGAAATGGTCGTGTCAAGCGCTGCCAGACGAGCTGCAGCTTCTCATAGAGGGGACACTAGAGAGAACAAGTGAAGATGGCGAGGCCGTATCCAATACGTTCTCGCCACCCATGTCTTTAGCATCTACTCTGTCGTTCCGCCCCCTCATCACCGCACAAGCGAAACTAGTCAACGCAGCCACGATTCGCTTGTTCTTTCGGTCACATCAGCTGCGACTTCACCTGTCACTGCAGCGGCAGTACCACCTTCTAGGTGATGGTGTCTTCTCATCCCTATTAGCAACCGCCCTATTTGATCCCGACCGCGAGAGTGCCGAGCGTCACAAAGGAAAGATGCGTAGTGGAGTACATATGGGGTTGCAACTAGGGTCCCGAACGTCATGGCCACCAGCAAGCTCGGAGCTTCGATTGGCATTGCGAGGCGTTCTCAGCGAGAGCTACTATTCCTCGACGCTCTACCAATCAACACAAGGCGATGAAGTTGTAGCTGCACCTACAGCGCTTCTCAACAACAGAGACAACGATGAGCTTCCCGGACAGCTCAACTTCGCTATTCGCAACCTCACCGAGGCGGAACAGGAGAAGGTCATGGACCCTGATATGTTACATGCTCTCGACTTCCTGCGGTTACAATACGTGGCGCCTGCCCCGCTCAATCTGGTGATCACGAGTACCTCTCTAGACAAGTACGACTACATCTTCAAATTCCTGCTACGGCTTCTGCGCATGCTGTTCGTCGTCTCGCATCTACCACGCGAGTATGCAGATAGCAACGCTCGTTACTTCAGGGCCGAGGCGTATCACTTCGTGATAACGCTCACCAACTATGTCTTCCAGACCGGCATTGCAGAGCCGTGGGACGACTTTGACACCTTGGTTCGGACTGTCGAGACCAGGTTGAACGAGGAAGACGCAGCCGGCGAGCTCGGAGTGCGTGTCACGGAAGGTGTTGCATCTCTGCGCGATTCGCATGAGAGATGCCTGGACAGCATCTTGTTTGCGCTCTTACTCCGGAAGCGACAGCGCAAGATCATGGCCCTTGTAGAAGAAATATTCGACCACATCCTTCTCTTCGCCAAGATGCAGAATGCCAACACACAACAGACGGAAGAAAGTGTGAAAGGTCTTTACGCGAAAATCAGAGGAAAGATACGGGTGTTCTTGAGTGTGTGCCGAGGCCTGACAGGCAAACAGGGCTACGGCAAAGGAAGAGGCACTGCAGAAGAGAATCAAATGGAGCGGCTGGTAGTCGCAATGGAAATGAACGGCTACTTCGCTTGATGATAGGAAGACAATGAAAGCAGGATAGCGTTTGGGCTGTGGCCTATCATCACTCCGTGCCACAATCATTCCGCCTCGTTTATTCCGTCTTACACGACAAGGCACCAGCCCCACTTTTCTTCACGCGTGTATACTCCGCTGCTTACAATCATCCCCAAAACGATGACCACATACGCGGAACGGATCAAGATAAAAGAGACAGCAACCGCCTCCAAAAATGTTTGACTTCGACATTCCATCACCTCTCAAAACACAATAAAGCAGAATGGCCAGTCCACGCACCCACGCCCTAGACAACTTCCGCACGAGCCTAACAGCCCTCGTAATCCTGCACCACGCCTCAACCCCCTACGGTGGTGCAGGCCCCTGGCCCTACACTTCCCCCCGCTACTACCCCAGCAGCTCCCCCGCCCTCGTCCTCTTCAACGTCACAAACCAGACCTTTTTCATGGGCTCCTTTTTCCTTGTCTCCGCGTACTTTTCCTCCATCGCCGCGAAGAAGAAGACTAGAACGCAGTTTCTGCGCGAGAAGTGGAGGAGGCTGGGGGTTCCGGCACTGCTGTTCAGTTTAGTGAGAGGGGGACTTGTGAGGGGTATTTTGGCGGGGAGGTTGAGGGGGGAAGGATGGGGTGAGGTGGGGAGGGAGATTTGGGAGGGGGTTAAGAGTGTGAGGGGGGTTGGGGGGCCGGTTTGGTATTGTGCTACTCTTTTGGCTTTTGATGCGGTGTTTGCTGGATTGTTGCCGGGGTATTTTGCTCGTCAGGAGCCGGTGCCGCAGGGCAAGAAAGCGGACTCCGGTTCTGCCTCTAGCAATATTAAGGCCAGCGCACCGTCGACGAAGACTCCATCCCAAATGGAAGTTACCAACGCCCCAGAGGAACCGAAGCCCTTCCGGACGACTCACGTGCTGGCTACCCTAGGCCTGATATCCACATCATCCTTCTTCATCCGACTCTACTATCCCGTAGGCCGAGCCTTCTGGCCCTTGTTCCTCCAGCTGGCGTATGTATCCCAATACGTCACTTACTACACCGCCGGCATCTACATCCACCGCTCAGGGCGTTCACTGCAAAACGCCATCTCTTCATCAACCTTACGCATCGTCGGCAGCATCACCGCCTCCATCGCCTCCCTCAGTCTCTTCCACATCAAGTCCCTACTCGACTCCGGCATGTCTTTCCCCGAGATCGTCCCTCTCATCTTCGGCGGCCCAAACCTACTCGCCTTCCTCTACGCGTTCTTCAACGAATTCGCTGGCTTGACCCTCGCTTCGCTCCTATTGAAGGCTTTCTACGATCCGCGTTTGGCGTTTCTGAGCAAGCGCTGGACGGTTGGGGCCGTGGATGTTGCGAAGTATAGTTATGCGGCTTTCTTGGTTCATTCACCGGTGGTTCTTGATTTGCAGTGTTGGTTTGGGAAGAAGGGCTGGGAGAGTATAGGAGCGGTGGCATCGGCGGTTGTGGTGGGGGCTTTGAGTGTGGTTGAGTCGTGGGTTGTTGGGGTGGTGTTGAAGAAGGGGGTTGAGTGGGCGGGGTGGAGAGGGTATTTGTGATGTGCTGGAGTGATGCAGCTTTTAGAGGAAAGCTTCTAAGTTGAGACAAATGCTGAGCTACAAAGCAACAACGCAACTGTACTAAGTCGGAACCAGATGAAGGCTCATAGATAGTCTAGCAAGGACCTTGTACTTCGCAATCACATTTCCATTGGCCGTGGTCTGATTACGTTTTTGGAGTAGTCGTTTCGCGCTACTGCCGGTGAAGAATTCGTGTAGGGGAATGAGTTCCTGCGGCGCTTCGCTATGGAAGCTAGTAAACGAATTCGCATCCGAACGGAACGTCAGATCTGGAACACTGAGCCATCTTGCAAAGCGCCGCATTACGGTCTTACTCCCACAACTTATTCCATCACATCCTGTGTCGAGATTCCACGTGTCCTTATCTGAGTGATTCAATGAAGCAGACAAGGACTTCTTCGATCGCCGTCCGACTTGGCGCAGTTCTCTAGTGGCTGACGCCTGCTCGCGCAGAAGAGCATTGCTTAAGCAGCTTTCTTCTATGGTATTAATCTCCCGACGGAAATCGTACTTGCGCTGTTCGAGATCGCAATCCACCGACATGGCGCGAATGGCGAGACAATAAACGTTGCATGCCGAGAATGTGTAGTCGGCCGAAATAAGCTTGCCAGCCCCTGTGGCGACTAGACCAAGAAGTGCGTACACCTTGTCGCGACCATCGGTCGCAAGGCTTGACGCAGACCAGTCCAAGACCTGCGCCAGGCTTGTGGAACTCTTAGACCAGCTGTCTAGACGAAGCATGGGCATTGACCATGTATGAAATTTGAACGTATAGAGCACCGTTTCGCTCCAATCAGACTCGATGTGTCCGGAGCGGATGAGTTTCAGAAATTGCGTAAGATAGTCCCAATTCAGAAATGTAGTACCGCACATGATTCTGGCGTTCTTGGCAACAACGACTTCCTGGATGATCCACACTCGAGACCAGTACGTTCGGCCTATCAGGCGATCTATCGCGTTTGTGATATCGTCGTCCAACTTGAGGCTGCAGCCCGTGACCGGCTGGTCTAGAAAGCCGCATTGAGCGCGATGAGAATCTATGACCAAGCTCAAATTCTCGATGTCTTGATGTCCTGGACCTAGCCACATTACTACCTCAGTCGCATTGCTATAGATAGCTCTCATTTGTGCTACCTGGTGCATTCTCTCCTCTGCGTTATTTTGATCGATGCAGATTGCATCAATCCAGAAGCTGGAATATGGGAACGCGTTCCCTAGATGTGCCAGAGCTTCTCTGAGATTCGACGTGATGTATGCAGTTTCGCCGTCTAACGAGATGGCATTCCGGATCGTTGCATCCCCCCAGACGTAGGAGAGCGCTAAGTACGGAATGGTCTCTGACGTTGAGTCGTATTCTTCGATGGTACAGCGGATGTGTCTATCACTGGAGCCAGGCAAAAACCGAAGTAATCTGATTGAGTGTGTCGCTCGAAGATGTCGATATCGATACGTTCCCGCATGTCCATTGGTAATTCCTTGAGCATGTATTAAATCCGGAGTGGTGGAGCAGCGCCCTTTTCGCTTGATCCTGCGTCTTCTCCTGTAATCAACCAAACCAGCCACTGCATCGTGACCATAGCTAACGAGTTTGGTGTTAGTGAGCGACCATCGATTGTGTCGCCATAGCTAGAAAACTACTTACCTTGTTAGCTGTCGGATTCTCTGCGTGACCGGCATACCGAGGTCATCAGGCTGCGTCTATGATCAAAGTAATCTCCGAAAGATGATGTGCGACGCAGCGGCTGACAAACAGGATGGGCGGCTTTAAAGACCAGCGATCAGCCATCGATGGAGTTATTGAAGGCTGACAGTATGATAGCCAGAAGGAATAAGTTGCGCTTCATATTCCCAATGCGAATGATGTTTATGTAGGGCAGTGCAAGGCTTCCCTATTCGTGATGGCTGTACAGGCGGCATCGGCATCAGCACCGCCTGGCCCGTCCCCTAGTCCCAATCCGGCTAGCGCATGATGCGCAACCTTGAAATCGCTCCAGTTTGCAGATTACGCATTCGTCGAGGGTTGGGTACATGGGCGAATTAAGAGGTTTACCGACGACATGGACATCTACGTGTTGGGGAGACTGGGCCATATTACACTGTCATTTCCCCAGTCAAATTGACAGAATTTTTCACTGAAGACTGCTGCATTGTCTCCCTAATACCTTTGCAAACGCCTGCCAGGTTCGTATGACTGACAGGGCGTGATATGCTTAGGTACTTATGTAAGGATGAAATCAAGCAACCGCCAAACGAACCCAGGGATTACAACGTCCATATTCGAGATAAGCAAGAGCTGTTCGTTGGGTGGTAGAAACAAGAGAGGGCTTCTTTAGATAGTTCGTCATCTTGGGGTTTGGTCAGGGTGGATGATTTGCGTGTCTGGTCAAAAAAGTCCTTCACCACCACCATCACTTCAATCCTTCTTTTTGGATCTTGTGCTGGGCGAGAACTTTCAAAACGAAAGCTCGAGTTGATGAACAGCTTTACGTGCTGCCGTAGTACTCTTATTGCGATTTGTAGTCGTTGTGGGTCGGTTAGTGCAAAAGTCCAAAAAATGTCCTTCACGGCCACAACACCAACACCTCTTGTTCGGGACTGCAATGGACGACAGCATAGCAAAAAGAAAGCCCGACGTGGGGGTCGAACCCACAACCTTGAGATTTGATACAATCGTGTCTATTAGGACGTGATAACTAAGAGTCTCACGCTCTACCGATTGAGCTAGCCGGGCTGATGTTGCTTTCGATGGAACTTCGACCGAACGCAACGTATATATTGTTATGATGAAAGCTCAGAGCTCCCTCAATCGTACAGAGTCCAAGGATGTGAAGTTTGGATCGCGATGGAAAATTTTGTTTGGGTATGCGGGTCGGGACTTATCAGATTTTGCCAATATCCGAAAACCCCGCCTTTGCCAACCAGCCACCCATCCATCCGGTATACGGAAAAGACAAGCTCTTTAGTTGCTCACGCTACAGTTCGGGTGCGCCATCGCAGTGTGTGCATCGCTGCTGAACCTAGCACCAGGACTACTGCAATGATCAGAAACAATAAATATGGCTCCAAAACCTTACAAGTCGTTTGCGCATCACGGTTCTGCCTTGTAAGGCATGTTTTTGCTGCCTAGTCAAAACATGCAAGTAATATGCACGACACCGCTCCATCGAACACCCTTGTCAATCTCGGACGGCACAGATTCTAGAAAGAGACGAGGTATGCCTCCCGCATTACTGTATTGCGACAAGAGACGCGTGCCAACGGTGGCGAAGCACGAAGATGGTCTCATAGAGGCGCATATAAGCTCATTGTGCATGAGCTTGAGGGATGTATACGAGCTTACTAACGGACGTTGGACCAGCCTCCCTCGGTTGAGTATCATCCTCGATGCATGTAAGTTTGTGATGCACACACGTTCGGTGCTCAGTGCGTTGTGGTGTACTCAGGGGTCCGATCCGACGGGTAATATTTGAAACGTCGATAATGTGCCGCTTAGTGGTCTGGATACGAGGCAGAATTGGAGGCTTTCTGGACCTGCATCGCCTGGATCGAGGATGATACAAGATGGTGCGCTTTGGCCGAGAGACGGTCAGTATTCTCGGGTCGACCGAGGATTCGTTCCGATGTAGTTGCGATTGCGCCGATCGCTCTCGTGCAAGTGGTAAACACGTGACGTCATCCTAACATCAAGCTGTGTCGCGCAACGCGTCAAGTCGAGCCCTTGGAATCACTGGAACAACTCCGTGCCCAAAGTCTTATCGGTAAATTCGCTACCTCTCAGTTCAATCCTTGTTCATTCGATGTTCGACCATGCCACGGACGCGAGGCGACGCAAGCAGTGGCGCTGATGCGGAACGCGATGCCAATCAAGATCAGGGGACACAGCCGCGAGACACTGCGTCTGGAGCGCAAACCGCTGAGTCTTCGACACAATCTGCCGGCCAGAAGAGGAAAGTGAGATCTGAGAATGAAGCATCTGCGAAGCAACGCCGAACGAGCGAAAGACAGGGAGCAGCTACATCGGTACGGGCCGAAAAGAAGGAAGAGCAACCGAAAGAAGAAGATCTGGAACAGCAGAAACCACGACTCACGACACCAGATCTGGAATATGATTACGATCGTTCCAAACTACGTGACCCGAGACCAACTCCGGGCCACAGGGCACGCCCGCGCTGGGATGACATCAGTGCGCCCCAAGAGATCAAAGATTGGGTCAGCGACAGCTTCTACATACCCAAGCCCACGAAGCCTCCTGGACGTCTGAACGTCGCCCTTAAGAACACAATGTTCAGAGATGAATGTCGGCTGAACCCCTTCGCACATTTTCACAAACTGTATGTATGCCATGACAAGGGACGCGAGGGCTCACCCACATACGACCAAGGCGGCTTCGAGCTTGACTACGAGAAGGTGAATGATTGGATGAAACCACAAGCCTACAACAAGAAAAATATGGTGCGTGGCATGGAGAAAGCAGTCGAACGACGAACGACTGAGCAGCAGAAGATGTTCGACTTGTTCTTTTTGGCCAAGTGGAACGATGACAGAGGTATCGGTCACACCGTGGAGAACTATGTCAAAGACCAGGTGTCAAAAGACATCGGCGTGCCCTGGCATCAAATCGGTCCGGAGCAGGTGCAGCAATGGCGTGACAGAGGCTTCGAGCCTGTCAACTTCTACGACTGGTGGAAAGAGCCCAACGAAGAGGAGACGAAGAGAATGATGAATATGATGTCAGGAGCTAGTTTGAGAAAGGACCTGTAATTACATAACCATCTCTGAGGATGTTCCAAGGGATTATCACTTTGACAACACGCTAGTCTTTCCTCCGCCCATATGACCCAAGCTAATCTCAACACGTCCCATTCTGCCGCCGGAAGACATCCATACATTAAGCCCTCCGAAGAACACATCAGGCCGTCCAAAGCGGACCGTCTCACGGCTAAGCGAAAAGCTTAACCTACAGATGCCACGCGTCTCACAATCCCGCTGGCTCTTGGTAAGGCAAACAGCGAGGCGGAGTCCCCGAAGTGTGGTCACCTGGGTCCCGCTGTATAGTTTCACGTATTGTAATGTAATGTAACAGCGGTAT